GGTGCTGTGCAGACAGTGCGGTCGCACAAGGCCCAATTTGGGTGGAAGGCCCAATAGTGTTAAACTACGAGTATAAATTAGCCCTTCTAAATCAAATAAAAAAATCCACTACATGTAGGAATCAAACTCGAGTTGGATACGAGGAGTTAGTGGGATAGTGGCTTACCAGCTTACCAAGTTAACTAATTGAGATATTTCAGTCATTAGCTGTACAAATATAAATGATCTTTAGTACTACTTGACGTATATACTTTTTTAAGTACGGTATTATTTGTATCTATAGTTTTATATAATAAACTTGAGTTAAAAAACAATGATGTGTCAACTTCTTATTGGATAATGCAAATTTTATTATCATTAAAATTAAAGCAATTAATTAATTCAATGTCCACCCCAATTAAAACTTGAGTTACGGCTCATTTAGAGCAAGAGTAGGAGAAAAAATCTCTCTTTTTTAAAGTGATATAACTTTTATATTTATAATCCAAATTCTACAAAAAATATATCAAAATTTATAATTTTTTAACATCTTTCATATGACACCAATATATATATATATATATCAATTTATTAGTAATCGCTGACATGTGAATCTCTTATTGGTTAACAAATTTTTTTTTGAACCGTGGTTAACAAAACTTAAATTGTCATTATTATCAAAACAATTAATTAGATTGATTATTTAAAGGAAATGTCATAGAGAAAAACGTGCGCAAGAGAAAAATTTGGAGAAAAACTTGGAGATAAAAACGTAGAGATTGTTTATAGTTAAACTTGAGTCCGATCCACACATTAAAATATTTGTTTAATAATAATTCAATGCTTATAAACTAATTATTAATTCCAAAAAATAGCTAAAATGGCTAATGGAAAAGGCACAAGGAGGAAAAGGTGGAGAAAATACAACATGTGTGTGCATATCCACCGGGATATCATTATCTTTTAATCTTAATAATTTTCATAATATTATTATCACTCATTGTTCATATAGAAAATCTAATTCTCTTTTCAACTTTAATTTTAGGCATTAAATGTTTATTGCATTCCACTTCAGAGCCCGTTTTATAACCATGTTATTCGGCTTATCAGACTTATTAACCAATTTTTTCATCAAACACGTAATTTTTTATTTCGCGTGCTGAATTGTGTAATAATAAAAAGTAAGGTTGATGTTGTTTTTCTAGCTGTCTGTATTGATTGGATGGGCTAATAGCCTAATACAGCCAATTTGGATATTACCAAACGGGTTCTTAGTTTTTGGTGTTCAATTCTTTTAGCACGTACGAGCTTTTCACTTTCAATAGTTCTTTGCTCTTAGTTAATTATTTTAATTTAATTTTATTTTATAATTATACAATCATTATCACTCAATTCTTTTAAAAGTAAATATAAATATACGCAATTTTATCGAGAATTGTAGTGCCTCGGGAACTAAATAGATGATGAGTGATTTTCTTCTTCTTCTTTGTCACTAATTAGCTCGACAAGATGATTTTGATATATCAAGATCGAATAAATGTTGAAATTATATAAATATTGAAAGAATTTATACACAACTAAAGTCAATCTTAGTTAAGGTATCCTATTCCAATTAGTTGTGAGAATCACCATATATTAATGTTGCAAAAATGATTATTTGGTTTAGAAGTCTCATTTATTAGTACAAAGTTTTATAGGAAAAAAAAGATAATAAAAAAACTCAATTTACAGGACAATTTGAATAGTTAACTTACCAAAACTTTGGGACGCTGAAAAATGATACGATACACATACATTGATAAGTATGAATGTTTTAATTGAATTGTTTTCAGACCAAACCGGCTAGAACAAACCAAATAAGACTTGAATACACTAGACCACACTAAAACAGACCAGATCACACCAGAATTCGACAATTATAATATACACATACACCAGGCATCTACCAAACCAGACCAATTCTAGCAAGATCAGAACAAACTTCAACAAAGCAGACCAAAGTAATTCAAATAAAACTAAACTAGGCAACAAAATTTCAATCCAATTAAAATCATTCTAAGATTAAGAAACTTATTATGTAATTGTAGAATGTAAAATTTGAACTGTACGTAAAATGTTAAAAGGAATTTGAACTCAATAAATTTATATACTACAAATTAAACATTTTTATCTTATAATTATTTGAAATTGATGGTTTTAAATTATTATACTTATGGTGATATTTTAAGCAACAGTTAGTTGTTGTCTTGCTACGGTACTTGAAATACTTGGCATAGTATGAGGTTCTTCAATTAATGTTCTCATAAATAGAGTATAATAATAATAAGTCTAAGACCAAAATAATAATAAACTTTTTGTGAATATATTCTCAACAACAAAATGTTATTTACAAGTTTGGTATTAATTCAAAATCTCTATTAATATTTAATATTTTAATTTACATTAACATGCCACTACCGGGGCATGCCCCGGGTGTTACACTAGTTACAGAGTATTACTTTATTATACTATCCTAATCCGTATGTACATTTGTAAGTTACTTTGTTCATTTCCTTATAGTTACAATTCTTATTAATCTAGATTTCTTTTACTATGATACTTTTTTTTAGCAATCAAAATAAGTTTTTCATTACATTTTATACTTAGTTTTTGTATTTTTAAGTTTATTATTTTCACTACATGTGTTATATATAATTACTCCATCAGTCCCAAATTGAGTTGTAAAATTGACTTTTATGAGTCAAATAAATTCATTTTACTCACTTAATTGAGATATTAATTTGTAATTAAATTTTAAATTGAATTTTTAATATAGAGCCTTTTATTTAATTTTGCACAAGGACAGGCCCTGCCAGAGTCCCAAAAGTCCCAAAGTCCCAAGTCTCACAACCATTCATCATCATCATTATCTCATTGCTAGAAAGGCTTCGCACCTACGTTTCGTATACAGTGGGGTAAGCGATCCAGAAGTCAGATATAGGCAACATTACCTTTTACTACCCCCCGTCCCATAATGGTTGTCCACTTTCAATTTGGCACGCTTATTAATAAAGTGGTTGAAAAGTAAAAGTTGTGGTTGAGATTTGAGTAGAATAAAGTGAAATGATAAGAACCACATATTTCTTGCCAAAAAAGGAAACAAGACATTCATTTTGGGACAACCAAAAAAGGAAAGTAGGACATCCAAAATGGGACGGAGGGAGTACTTTATACTATCCTTCTTCTTCTTCTTTTAATTGCAACATATGAATTTTACACTATTCACATGCTCTACTTGGACTACATTTTAAGCTATTATTTTATGAAAAATATTTTTTTTTTAAAAATATTTTTCAATTCATCTCATTACAAATTTTCAAAATCTGATTTTTAATATTTTTTTATTAATAGAGATTAAAATATACGTAGTAATTACGGTAAAAGACGTGCGTTGGTAAATGTGAAATTTTGGGGGTTGCAACTAAAAAAGAACGGAGGAAGTACGAAAACGTAAATAGACGGTTTCCGAATGACTCATACTCTCATAGTGTAAATCGCATAGAAAATCATATTCTAAAGCAAAAAATTGTGAATAATGTTGAGACTTATTCAATTGCAAATCATATTCTAAAGCAAAATATTTTGTTTTATTTCATCATATTCTAAAGCAAAAAAGCGTAAACAGTTTCGTGTGACATTTTGTGAATCATGTTGAGACTAACTGCTGCTTCATAACAAAGAAGCGTAGACAATTTCGTGAGATATTTTGTTTTATTTCATCATATTCTAAAGCAAAAAATTGTGAATCCCTAAATCAATTGCAAATCAAGGAAATGAACTCTCACAGACTATGTTCATTTAATCAACAATCATTATGCATTTATGCTCATTTAGAAGTTAGAACCCCAACAGTTGCAACATTTATGAATAAGTCTCAACATGATTCGTTTGCAAAAAAAAAGTCTCAACATGATTCGAACTCTCACTGATTATGTTGAAACTCACAAATACGCTCAAACGAGTCCATAACAGCAGATAAAGATCTAGAATTAAAATGCTGGGAAAGGTAAGTTTCGATCTAGACAAAGCCTTGGCCGGTCATGATTCTCAACCGAAGAGAAGTCTGGTTGCAGCCCAGTTTGACTTCAAGCTCAGTTCTAGCTTTTTAATAGCCGGGTCAACCTCCACCTCTTCTGCTTCAGTGTTCCTAGCTAGCCTCCTCTTCGGCAAGAGAATACACCATCTTTATCTGATTTAATAATTCCTGCCTTTCCTCCTTCAGGAATCGACTGCTATTCTCAATAGCCTCAAGCTGAGCTTCAAATTCACTTTCTTTCTGGTATAGCTTCTCTAACTTGGTCTTTATTCCTTCTGTTAAGGAAAGAATATTATAGCTAGTTAATACATAATTATAGCTACGTATCATATCATTTGTATATATAGAAATATCTATATTTATTCATTTATTTCATTCTTTCCTTGTAAATGTAAACACTTTACTATAAATATTAATACAAGGCCTCACACCAAAATTCAAGGTGTGATATCCTCACATGGTATCAGACTAGGTTATCCCTAACCTACGGCATTTTCTTTCTAAAACTTTCTTTCCTCCATGGCAGATTCTCTTCCCTATGCCACGCTTATTCATATGTTAACTCTTAAATTGTCATCCACTAATTATCTTTTGTGGAAGACCCAAGTACAGACCCTTCTCCAGAGCCAAGGCTTATTCGGATTTTTGGATGGCACCAAAGTCAAACCGTCAGTTTCATCTTCTTCTGATGCTGAAGCTATTAAGGCGGAACAAGACTGGATCACTCAAGATCAGCGCCTTCATAGTTTGCTTCTCTCCTCGTTGACCGAAGAATCCATGGCTCATACTTTGGGTTGTACCAGTGCTGCATCCGTTTGGTCTGCTTTAGAGAAGGTGTATTCACTTCAGTCCAAGTCTCGTGAGATTCAACTCAAGGATGATCTTCAGAATCTCCGCCGTGGCTCCTCTTCTGTGGAAGATTACAGCAATCTCTTTGTCGGCTTGTGTCATAAACTGGCTGCCATCAAGTGTTCAATCTCTGACACCGATAAACTCCATTGGTACCTTCGTGGACTTGGACCTGCTTTTTCTCACTTCTCCCTTCATCAAATTCGCCAACATCCCACTCCATTGCTCAGTGATGTAATTTCTGAAGCTAAAAGTTGTGCTCTTTTTCAGAAATCTCTTGAGGAACCTTCATCTTCTCCAACTGTAGCCTTTGCCGCATCATCTGCTTCTGCATCAGGCCGTCTCCATCATCCTAAGTCATCTGGCCCACCCAATAGTCGTTCTGGAACTCGCCCCTCTGCCCACCGAGTCTCTACTGGGCCTCGTCACAATAAGGCAAATCGCCGATCCTTTGCCCCGCGCTGTCAAATTTGCCGCACCGAAGGTCATTTTGCAAGTGATTGTCCTGATCGTTATCATCGATCTCATTCAGACAACACTCATGCCAACCTTGCTGAGGCTTTTCACTCCGTTTCCTTACAGTCATCTGACTCTCCTGATTGGTATATGGACTCAGGTGCTTCTTCACACATGACTCCTACCTCATCTCAGCTTGCCTCGGTTTCTCCTTACTCGGGTAACTCTCGTGTCTATGTTGGTAACGGTGCTCAACTTGCTATTTCTCATACTGGTGACTGTGTTTTTCCATCTGGTCTTAAATTATCCAATGTGTTGGTTGTTCCTCATATCTCCAAAAATCTACTGTCTATTAGTCAACTAACACAAGACATGCCTGTTACTGTTTTATTTGATGACAAATGCTTTACTATTCAGCACAAGATCACAAGGGAGATCATGGCAAAGGGAAAGCGTGAACATGGATTGTACGTCCTTGAACGAGGATCAGAAGCTTTACTTGGAGAAATCCGTACACAGAAACTCAAGGGCTCCTTTGAGCTATGGCATTCTCGGCTAGGACATGTCTCTTTTAATCTTATTCACTGCTTAAATAAATTGGGCCATATTTCCGTTACTTCTCTACTGCCCAAACCAACTGTTTGTCATTCATGTCAATTAGCCAAAAGCAAACGCTTGCCTTTTGAACTTAATAAAAAGCGTTCTACTTCTTTTTTGCAATTGGTGCATTGTGATTTGTGGGGGCCTGCTCCTATTCCCTCAAAGCAAGGATATTTGTATTATGTCGTTTTTATCGATGATTATTCTCGCTTTAGTTGGTTTTATCCCTTACGCCACAAGTCTGATCTCTATGATACTTTTGTTCTGTTCCACAAATTTGTGGAAACTCAACTTAACTGCAAGCTTAGAGTCTTTCAGACTGATGGTGGTACTGAATTCACCAATAACCGCATTAAATCCTATATGATATCTCATGGCATTCATCATCAAATGTCTTGCCCATACACACCATCTCAGAATGGTCGGGCAGAAAGGAAGCATCGCCATATAACCGAGACTGGTCTTGCTATGCTTTTTCAATCCTCTGTACCCTTAAGTTGTTGGGTTGATGCTTTTTCTGCTGCAATTTTTACTATCAATAGACTGCCTACTTCGGTGCTCGATGACATCTCACCATTTGAACTTATTTTTGGCTTTCCTCCGGACTATTCTACATTTCACCCCTTTGGTTGTTGTGTATATCCATGTTTACGTTCCACTGCTTCACACAAGTTTTCTCCTCGCAGTATTCCATGTGTATTCTTGGGCTATAGCACACAACATAAAGGTTTCAAATGTCTTGATGCTCTCACCGGACGTATTTATATTTCCAGACATGCTATATTTGATGAAGGAAATTTCCCTTTCCTCAAAAACTCCTCCTCCATGCCATTGGAATCACTTAATGTTTCGGATTTTCTGGACCCAGGGGTTACGCCTAATATGGCAACAATCAGTGTCCCCCCTGAGACACGTAGTCACACCAGTATTATGCCCCCAAACTCCTCATGCCGCATTTGTTCCATTTCACCTCCTTCAAGTCAGTCTGGTGCACCACCAGGTGTCACAGATGCTCCAAGCTCGGCCACCAATGCAGTTACTTCTCCATCTAATTCTTCATTGGGTGATTCAAGTTCATTGCCGCACTCCTCCCCACCACCACCGCCAAATATCCGCACCATCCAAACTCGTTCTCAATCTGGCATTATTAAGCCTCGGTCATTTCCAGATTATGAGCTTACAGGTCTTCTTGCTGGTTTGGTTGCTCAAACAGAGCCAAAGGGGTACAAATCAGCTGCTAAATATCCTGGGTGGGTCGCTGCTATGGACGAGGAGATGGATGCTCTTCGCTCAAATAATACTTGGGACCTCGTCCCTCGTCCCTCGGGTACAAATATTGTTGGCTCCAAGTGGGTTTATCGAACAAAATATCTTGCTGATGGCTCGGTTGAGCGGCTTAAGGCCCGCTTAGTGGCCCAAGGATTCACCCAACTCCCGGGATTTGACTTTACTCATACCTTTAGTCCCGTTGTTAAAGCTGCCACAGTTCGCGTAGTCTTGACCATTGCAGTTTTACGTAATTGGCCTCTTCATCAACTCGACGTAAAAAAATGCTTTCCTCAATGGTGTTCTAGATAAACCTGTATATATGGAGCAGCCTGCTGGCTATGTTGACCCATGCTTCCCTGATCACGTATGTCGGCTGCGTAAGGCGTTGTATGGTCTCAGACAAGCACCGCGTGCTTGGTTTCAACGCTTTCATGATTATCTTCTTCGTCTTGGTTTTCATAATAGTCAGGCTGACACCTCCTTATTTATCTTCTCTCGTGGCCATAATCTCCTTTATCTTCTAGTTTACGCCGACGATATAATAGTCACAGGCAATAATCCCCTTCTTCTACGAAAATTCATTACTCGCACAAATCGTGAGTTTGCCGTTAAGGATTTGGGGAAATTAAGCTATTTCTTGGGCCTTGAAGTCACTCACACGTCTACAGGTTTATTTCTTGGACAGTCCAAATATGCTAGGGATATTTTAGAGCGCGCTCAAATGTTGGCTGCCAAACCTGTCGCCACACCAAGGGTTCCAGGTTCCCAGCTTCATAGCGCCTCGGCCACTTTGTTTCATGATCCTACATTGTTTCGCTCCATTGTTGGTGCTCTTCAATATTTGACAATTACTCGTCCCGATTTGTCATATGCGGTTAGCTCGGTTAGCCAATATATGCAGTCTCCTACAGTTGATCATTTCCAGGCCGTCAAACGTATTTTGCGTTATGTTAGGGGTACGATCTCTTATGGCATAGACTTTACACGATCCGCCACGCCTCCTGCCCTCCTTGGCTACTCCGATGCCGACTGGGCTCGTTGTTTAGAAACCCGCCGATCCACTTATGGCTATGTCGTGTTCTATGGTGGTAATCTTCTATCATGGAGTGCAAAGAAACAACCAACAGTTTCTCGCTCCAGCTGCGAATCTGAGTACTGAGCTTTAGCTAATACCGCCTCTGAGATTGTTTGGCTAACTTATTTGCTTCGCGATCTGTGTGTTCCTTTGGTTGATCCTCCTCTTCTTCTTTGTGACAACAAAAGTGCAATTTTTCTTTCACAGAATCCTGTTGCTCACAAACGTGCCAAGCACATTGATATTGATTGTCACTTCATTCGTGAACTGGTATCTTCTGGCAAGCTCAAGATTCAATTTGTCCCCTCCGATTTGCAATTAGCTGATATCTTTACTAAAGGGCTATCCCGACCTCAATTTGAGTTCATTCGTACTAAGCTTCGTGTTGCATGTCATCCCACGCTCAGCTTACGGGGGGTGTTAAGGAAAGAATATTATAGCTAGTTAATACATAATTATAGCTACGTATCATATCATTTGTATATATAGAAATATCTATATTTATTCATTTATTTCTTTCCTTGTAAATGTAAAGACTTTACTATAAATATTAATACAAGGCCTCACACCAAAATTCAAGGTGTGATACCTTCCCCCTTTTTCACCAACCCTTCAAGCAAATTTCGGGTCTTTTCAAAACTAGACCAGGGATGCTCGTTTCTTCTTCCCTTGCCTTGAACTGAAACTCTCCATTCCTGAATCATCTCTGGAAAAGTAGCTTTCAGGTTCAAAATTTCTTTGCCCCGTTCATCGCTGAACAAATAAAGGTGGGCGGATAGAGAAGACAGAGACTCCATTATGGCAGTTTCATTACTCGGATCAGCCAAAACATCCAAAGGGTATGAATTCAGTATGTCAAGGATTTCTTTTGCAGAATGCAAAGGTCCTTTAAGGAAATCCATTTCGCATTTTAGGGCATTAGATTTCGCGCCGCAGCAGCTGGAAAGTCTCTGGGGTACGTAGTGACTCCAGAAACGATTGAGCCTCGGCATAAACAGATTCCGCAAGATCGAGCGCGTCCAATGAATCTACATCCTGATCCGATCCCGTATGAGAAAAAGGTGTCATTTCGCAAGGGCAGATCCAGTTTAAATTACTTGAAAAAAAATCCAGTTAAAATTACTTGAATATAATACGTACACGCAATATATATGGATATGCATGTTTGACCGTGTGAGTGCTATTCCTGTCCACCCATACTAATGGGAACCGCCGTTCAGTCAAATTAAGGGGTGTAAGAAAATAGCAAGCCCCTCCAATCAAATGGGTTGAAATGCCTTGGCCATTTAGAGCATCTTTAGGGAGTGCTTGAAAAAAAAATTATTTTGAAAACTAAAAGTTGGTAGTGTTTAGTAATATAAGTGCTTTTGGTGCATAAAAAGGGGAAAAACACTTTTGACACGAAAGCCGAGAAAAGTAAAAAATTGGTAGTGTTTGGTAAATAAGTGCTTTTTAAAATCAAAAGCTGAGAAATGCTTTTTTTAAAGCTGTTGCAAACCAGCCCTTAATGGAAGAGTGAATTGCACCCTAGTTAGATTTTTTGCGTTTTAAATATGTACCGTTTTTTTGAACAAAAAAACGCGTTTAAAACGAAAAATAATGTCGGTCCGTTTAAAAAGGAAAAAAACTTTCACTTCTCGTATAAAACGTATTTTTCCCGTATTTTATAAAAAATAGAAACATCATTTGATCACTTGAATGAATACATCAAATGAATAGAAAATCAACAATAGTTTAAAAGCAAAAAAGAAAACATCATCCCTGTGACCCCGTGTTTTTGTATTGTTACAATACAAATATACAATTGTTAAATACTAAATTTAATTGCAGGATGACTAAAGCTAGCAAAAACCTAAATACTACTACATATTAGATTTATGATGTTCTTTTCCAAACAAGCATATCAAAATTAATGTTTTTCTAAACCTGACATTTTTTAGTATAAACTTTTACACATAAACAATAATAAGTGTAGTAGTCGCATAACATTCTCAAATGTCATCCGCCATCTAGGTGAAAATGATGAGTTTAACTTGAGTGTTATTTGATCATCATATAAAGATGATGATGATGTTAACTTCACCTCATTCTATCATTATTATGCTTTATTTTCTGACATTACTTTGCAAAATTATGTCTTAGACTTAATTACTTTGTACTGTTTTTACATTTGTCATTGACTTATGCAATTACGAATTATTCTTTTATGTAGTAATGTGATTTGCTACTTCAATATGTGTAAACTCTTATTTCTTTTTATTATATGTTATTTTATGAAGTATATAATTTAAGGTTTTTTTTGCCATAAATGGGACTTAACTATTCCTGAAATTCCTAAATAGGAGTATACTTATTTTTTTGCCCTAAATAGGACTGATTTATCCATTTACCCCTATTTTCTTTCCCTACACCTACGCGTCTTATTTCTTCCCTCCCCATCCTTTCTTTTCCTCTCCCCCTGCGCGTCTCCTTCCTCTCCCCTACGCGTCTCCTTCCTCTCTCCTGCGCATCTACTTCCCCTATCCAATTTCTTCTTCTTTCCCTTCGCACATGAAGGGCCAAATCTTCAAAGCCTTCCGCCATTGACGCGAAGCCCGCCTCCTCTGCCCAGTCGAAGTCCGTCGCCGCCGCCGCCGCCGGAGATCTTCTTCTCTTCGAAGGTAAGGTTCTCTTCTTTTGATTTTTCTCCTTGTCCTTCCTCCCCTCTTCTCTAGTCTTCTCCTCCCTCTTCTATTTCGTTGCATATGCTCCATTTCTTCATGATTGGTAAAAAATGCCAAGTTCAACTCTAAAAATGCCATCAAAATGGCATTCTTATTCTACAAACTTTTCTATTTTTTTCTTTGAAAATGCCATTAAAATAGCATTCTAGATTCATGTTGGCATTTTGATAAAAACTTTGGCATTCGTTTAGGCAACGGCCAGATCTGTAATGATACAGGCCAGATTTGAGTGGAAGATGGCGGATCTGCTACAAAAGTGGCCGGATCTACAAAAATAGCGGCTCGACGCCGGCGGAACAACAGCGCCGCCAGATCTATGGCGGTGGCGGCGGCGGTCAGATCTGTAGCAGAGGCCGGTTTGACGTGGCAGCGGCGACCGGCGGATACCGGCGACTGGAGGTGGCCCGACACTCTGGTCGGCAGTAGTGATTTCCCAGCTTTAAGGGTGTTTTTGTCCTGTTACATATAATAACTCCTATTTAGGGAATTTTTTATAATGAGTCCGTGATGTACTCCTAATTTACCATATTTACGATCTTGTTTTGTCACACTTTTAATACTTTATTTCTCATTTTTAAATAAAAAGGATTGATCTTTATCATCTTGGACATTTTAAGGTATTGCACTTGTTTTGGTATATTTTTGAGTTTCAGGATAATTCGGAACGTATATTAATTTCTGAAAAGAAATAAATATTACTCCCGAGTGAAGACGGAAAAATCATCAAAGTGAAGCGAGTCCTTACTTTATCTCCGAAATATTTATACAGAGACCCGAAGTTCATTTCAGAATAAATCAGACTGTCCACAATAAAATGTACCGGTTAACTGTTTGACCAGTTAACTGATCAAACAGCTAACCGGCCAAATAAAGAAGTGGCCAACAAAGAGCCAAGCTGACAACATTAGTCACTCCATTATTGTGAATAAGGCTCCACCGTAGAAGAAATCTCAAGAAGAAAACAAATTGAGATCAAATAATTGTATTGCATCCACTTGGAACCAAAGCTGTCTTCATCATCTTTCATTAGCCGAACAGAGGAGCACAGCGGCCGACGAAGAAAAATGCACAACAGAACAGTGGCCGGTGCTATTTGCAGGAAGAAAAATGAGAAATTGGCAATCACATCTAGTGAAGATTGAAATCAATGGCCGTCCAAATTAAATGATCTTTATCTTCATTCGGAGATATTTATGAGCTACACCCTTCTTTTGCTACTATATAAAGGGGTTATTCAGGAGCTTCAAAGAACACACCAATTCGGAGAGAAATCTCCCTCTTCTTTCTTTAGCTTTGTTCATAGTAGTAGCAATAAAATAAAAGTGATTCTTTCAAGAACACTTTCTGTAAAAATTTAGTTTGTAATTTCCATTCCAGAATTTCAGTTATATATATTCAACAATAAAGTTCATTTGGAGATATCAGTTCGAAGTTAATCAGTTCCAGCTTAATTTGAGGATTTCAATCTTTTCTGTTCCAGCTCTTCTATGTTCTTGAATATTTATGCCTTCAGGTTCTTATTTAAACACTACTTTAATTTCTTTAATCTGTTAATTTAATTATATGCCTAGCATGAATTTTTACTTCTATATTGTCTACTGTAATTATGTGTAACTAAATTAGTTTAGGTTTGGGCAAGATGTAAATTTTACTGTTAATGTTCATATGATAATAATTGGTTAAAACTTTTACTTGGTTAATTTTAGGGTGTTGGGTTGAATGTTCTAATCTGCTAAATACATTATATTGGGAAATGAATATTATCACGGGAGTGAAGTTTCATTAAAAATCCCTTTAGTTAATTCACCCACTAAATTGCTACACGGAAGTGTTAAGGAATTTATGATAATTTGATTTTGTACTTTTTACTGTCTTAATAAAATTACCGCGGGAGCGGAATTAATTTAAGATAGTGTAATCAACTAAGTCGTGGGAACGATTAGAAGATTACCATTTGAAAATCTTTCACACACCTAAAAGTAACCAAGTTAATCAGTTAAATCTTTATTATTATGAACATGAAAATAAAATTACTCTTAGCCCAAGCCTAATTTTCACTATATCATTAATTGTTAGATTATCAAGTATTGTGATTTATTTTATTTCCTAGCAATTTCACATTTATAAAAACAAGATAAAAAATCTGTTCACTTAGCTCCATTGCAAAATGTTATCAATTTGTGATTAGCTAAAAATCAATCATTAATTCTAGTTCTCTTTTTGAGCCATTCTCTAGCGGAACGATACTCACTTACTCTATACTATATCGTTACAAGCCAATTAAAACATCATTTCCATTCACATTTTTACACCATTTCACACTACACTTTTTGCAATGTCAGTCCTATTTTAGCAATTAAAGATGCATTTAGTCTCATTTGGGTAAATACCTCTATAATTTAAATATTATTTTGGACTTAATCATTACTTCTGTGTTTTCATGAACTTATGCTATTATAAATGCATTTTTTGACGGAGTAATGAGATATTTAAAATATTTTTTTATAATTAAGAAATATATTTCAATGTGTGTATTTTGATTATCCTTTATGTACTATATGTTTTGTAAGCTCTAAACACTAGTACAATAATTTAATTATTCAAAATAAGACCCGTATTTTTAACCCGAAATTTTCTAAGAGATGTCGTATTATATACGTATACATATTTACACGTTTTTTAAAAGTCAACGTATTTTTTGCCGAATTTTTGACCGCATTTTTTGTTCAAATTACTGAATAAAACACGTACGTATTAAGCCACGTTTAATTCTCATACCATATTTAACTAATTATGAATTGCACTCCATAAAAAATGGACATGTTATCGATATAGACGGTCTATGAAGCTGAGGTGGACAGCTACACATTTAAGATAATATTTAAGCTCCACTGCAGTCGTGAATTTAACTCTTCTACCTCTCGCCATATTAAATAATATTTGGTGGTAGTCTAAGGATGTTTTATTTTGGACTGTTTTGAGTCCCAGGCCAAACCAGATCAGATCAGACTAGACCTGACTTGACTTCGTAGTTATAAAATACACAAAGACCATATGTTTAATTACCATATCTGACCAGCAGTGGCGGATCCCGAAATAAAGTTTATTGGGGGCAAAGTAATTAAAAGATACTCTCTCAATCCGGCTAAGATTGTTTTTTCCAATCCATCTCACTAAGATTGTCTTTTATCAAATTTAGGAAGGTTTATGCGATTCTAATATTAATGTTTTTATTTGGACTGAAATTTTTTGGTATTTTAAGGTTGGTCTGGTCTTGTCTGAAATGGGTTGGTCTAGTAGATGTCTGGTCTAGCAGAAGTCTGGTTTGATTTGGTTTGGTTTGTTAAAATCTGGTATAATTTGGGATTGAAATAAGTATGAGTAAAAACATCCTAAATCATTCTTAATTTATTCTTAATTTATCAATTCAATATTAACCACATAAACTCATTTTTCTTTATAACTGCATCACCTCCTCATATCCTAACGCTAGTGAGACGGTGGTAGTTTTATATTACAACAAAATAATAAAAATGACATTAGTAATAATGTATAATTGTATTATTAAACTGGCAAGATTTCGAACAAAATACATTGTTACGAAGTTTTCATCTTTCGGAAGAAACCAAATTTCAATACATTAATACATGTTATTTAACTATCCACAATAACATATACTTTGTAATTTACAATTATGATTTTTACTTATTAAATGACATTTTCTAATAGATGTATGAAATTAGACTCTAATGTAGATGTATACGTAGTACGGAGTAATATTTAAGGAAACATCTATTAATTTAAATCTTTTATGTGTACACCAATAGCCTTAAAATAAATTAATACTACGTAACCTTATAATAAGTTTAATTAATAACACTCTAGTAATTCATATATTATAATTATTTATTTATACTCCCTATAAAACTAATACTATCCTATACTAGGTATGACTTTAGAGTTTAAATTTAAACTACTAGGTATAACAAGTTAACAACACAGAGGCCCACACACACAGGACTTTTTAGCTATTTAGCCGCAAATCGTCACATTTGAGCTTAGTAAATCGGTAAGTGGGTTTATTGAATTGTTAGTTTGTTGGTTTGGATGATTCTGTAATCTGAATTTCAGATTTACAGTTTTGGGGCGGACGGCCAGACTACTGGGTTATCGGGGGCAACAAGTTTTTCCTATTGGGGGCAAGTATTAAACTTGTAATGTTTACTAATAAATCATATGGATTAGTAGACTTTTATTGGGGGCAGCTGCCCCCATAGCATGCTTAGTAGATCCGCCCCTGCTGACCAGGCCAACAAATTTCAATCGAAAAGATAACATCCTAAAATAAAAATGGGAGTTGCGTGAATCCGATTTGTGAAGCAGAACAAAAAAACAAGAAAACTAAGGGGGTGTTTGCAACGGCTTAAAAAAGCACTTCTCAACTTTTAGATTAAAAAAGCACTTATTTACCAAACACTACAAATTTTTACTTTTTCTCGGCTTGCGTGTGAAAAGTGCTTTTCCCTTTTCTATTACACAAAAAGCACTTATTTTACCAAACATTACCAACTTTTACTTTTCAAAATCACTTTTTTCTCAAACATTATCAACTTTTATTACTAATCACTTTTTCCTTACATCTCCAAAAATGCTTTTTTTTTTAAGCAGAAGCAGTTACAAAGGAAGTGAACTTGGAGACCAACGGCACCCACTTCAACGAATTTTCGGATAATAAATTGTAGGAGATGATGATAGTCGTTCGTTTCAGGTCCCGATGATGGTGATTCTGGCCGTCGATATAATGTGTCGCCGACGAGCTCCGACTCTCAGGTGGAAGAATAGATGTAGGCGATGTTTAATTTCCCATGGATTTGTTTCTTAACCTTAGAGCTTCTTTAATTTCTAACTAATTGGATGATGACTTTACGTTCTTGGTAAGTTGATATAGTAGCTACGAGAAGTTAGAATAAGATACTTGGAAGTTGGAAATAGCTGCTTGCCTGAGCAGAAATGTTGTGGAAGGAGAAGGTTACAAAATTTTGCAGGTGCGAAGAAGAATTGTGGGAGAGGAGCCTGACGGAAATGTTTTGGCCTCCCCTAAAAAACAATATAGATTCTATGGTACCCATAAGGTATCATACCTTTATCTATATGGACCAATCAGAATGATGCAGTTGAATTATTTATGGTGACAACTCCGATACCCATTTAAGAAATGGGGTACCGTACCTACAATGCATTTGATTGGTCCAAATCATTATATCCTTTTAAATTTAGATTTAAATAATTCAACTGCATCATTGTGATTGGTCCATGTGGACAAAGGTATGGTACCTTAAGGGTACCATAGAATCTACCATTATTTAAATATAAATTAAAAGAAATATAATGATTTGGACCAATCAAATGCATGGTAGGTACGGTACCCCAAATTTTTTAATGGGTATAGGAGTTGTCACACGTGAGAAATAAAACTTTGATGAGTCACCATGTGAGAAACACCTTCTCGAAATCGCTAGAGGAGTCGACATTGTGGGTTATATTGAATTCCAACTCAGCATGGGAGTCCATGTACACATTCCCGCTTGAGCAACAAATTAATCTCAATTTCTATTTATTTGATGTGGCAGTGCATTTTTATCTAATTCATTGTCCATTAAAGATGCTTTTAGGGCCCTTCCCCATAGAATGTTTTGATGAAATATTTTAACATGTTCTTCATAAACTTTACTTAACTTATACCAATTTTTAGATAAAAATTTAATAAGGAAGGCAGTCAAATAAATTATTTAAGAACATTGTCCAGTTAATATATATATATATATATATATATATATATATATATATATATATATATATATATATATATATATATATATATATATATATATATATATATATATATATATATATATATATATATATATAGAGTGCTCTTCTCATCAGGCCGGCCTGACGGGATGCCCCGTCCGGCCGAGCCCGTTTGGGCACCTTCCCGGTAGAATTTTTTGATGAAATTTTTTGAGCATGTTCCTCGTCAAGTCTAGTTTGTCCATACCAAATTTCAGCTCAAAATTCGATCGGGAAGGTCGTCAAATGATTTTTGCAAGTTAACTGGTCCGGAATATGTATTTTCCGGACCAGTTAACTTGCAAAAATCATTTGACGACCTTCCCGATCGAATTTTGAGCTGAAATTTGGTATGGACAAACTAGACTTGATGAGGAACATGCTCAAAAATTTTCATCAAAAAATTCCACCGGGAAGGTGCCCAAACGGGCTCGGCCGGACGGGGCAGCCCGTCAGGCCGGCCTGACATGAACATTCCTCTATATATATATATATATATATATATATAGACAAATATTCAGGTCCGGCCAAGCCGGACCACTCCCCCCGTCCGGCCTCCTCCATTTGGGGGCCTTCCCGATGGTATTTTTTGCTCAAATGTTTTGTGTAGGTTCCTTATCAATTCTAGTTCATCCATACCAAATTTCAGCCAAAAATTCAATCGGGAAGGTCGTCAAATGATTTTTGCAAGTTAACTGGTCCGGAATATGTATTTTCCGGACCAGTTAACTTGCAAAAATCATTTGACGACCTTCCCGATTGAATTTGTGGCTGAAATTTGGTATGGATGAACTAGACTTGATGAGGAACCTATTCAAAAAATTTGAGCAAAAAATACCACCGGGAAGGCCCCCAAAAGGAGGAGGCCAGACGGCGGCTCCGGTCAGGTATAATCTTCCGGTCAGGTATACCTGACCGGAAGATTATATGTAATTAGCTTACCAAGAACGTAAAGTCATCATCCAATTAGCTACGGTCAGGTATACCACCGGGAAGGCCCCCAAAAATACGAGAGGTCATATATATATATATATATATATATATATATATATATATATATATATATATATATATATATATATATATATATATAGAATAGAGATCAAATACAAAGCCTTCTTAATTTACAAAGTACAAACTCATCTTGACCGTCCGATGAGTTGATCCAAAGGACATAAAGGCAAGGTGGCATTTTTGTAATAAAACCCAACTTTTTAGGGTGCAACTCGTTGCACCTTAATGTGCAACTGTTATTTTTATGACTTTATAATGTGCAATACTTTGAACCTTAATATGCAATGCAAATAACGTCAAGGTGCATCGTACAAATATTTGCACAATAAGCACACTTTGTACTTGATCTTTCCCCTATATAGATATATATATATATATATATATATATATATATGTAAACAACACAATATTTCTCAAAAATCATTTGACTGCATTCCTGATTGAATTTTTAGGTGAAATTTGGTATGGAAATAGGGCAAACCACTACAAGAAACTATATCAATTACCGACGGATGATTACCTACGGAATACTATTCATAGGCAATTGAATTCTTACCGACGGATTTACCGACAACATTTTCAATTCGAGGTGAAATGTTAGAACAAAAAAAATTGGTTGTTTTTTACCGACGGAAAAATATATTGTAGGAAATATACCTATGTAATTACCGACGGAGGGACAATTCGGTTGGATTTTAAGGAGGGAAAAATTAGCGCGTAGAATCTCTACCAATTTTTCCTACAGATGTGGTTTTCATCTGTAATTTCCGACGGAATAAGCCGACGGAACTTTGATCGGTTTTAATTTTACAACCCAATTTACTCTTTCATTGTGTTAGAATTGATACCTACGATTTTGATTTTCCGTAGGTAATGAAAAAGGAAGCGGGAAAATAAAAAAAGGGCGGAAGTTTACAGAAACACAGCCAAACAAAACTATACTTCGTATAACTTAATTACTTAGGGTTTTATCCTTTCATTCCTTCTCCCCATTTCTCAAAGTCATAGAAGCTAAATCGCTGCAGTTCTCTCTGGAAAACCATCAATAGGTGCCGCCGGCCGCCCTCCTTCCCTCTTCATAATCTATTCAAGTCTCTCACAATATCTCAACTACAAACTCTAAACAAACAGGTGAGTTTCTTATTGACTTCACCACCGCTCTTAATCTATTCAAGTCTCTCACAATATCTCAACCTCAACTACAAACTCTTAATCATGAATTCTTTGTATTCATTTCTATATTTTCCCTTTTTTCATGGCTCAAACAATTGGGTTTTACTTCTGGTTTGTAGATGAAAATTTTTGTAAGTCTGGTACTATCTTTCTGGAAAAGAAAGAAAGTTTGATTTGTAAGTCTGGTACTTTCGTAGGTATCAATTTGTAGCAAAAGAATTGAATTGATTAACCTTTGGTAAAGAAATAAATGGTTAAAGCTAATAAAGTTTGATTGGGATGTAAAATTCAATCTGGTACTTTCGTTCTTGAAAAGAAAGAAACAATACGTAAAAATCCTCAGTGTCCCATTTACTTTAGAAGCAAAGAAACAATTTGGTCAATTGTCAAACACAATAGTAATAATTGCTCCACCTGCTTCAACATCACACTTTGGCCTTGTTTGGCAATCGGCTGTTAGCTTTAGATGTTAGATGGTTGTGTTAGCTGTTTGATAACAGCTGGTTATGTTAGCTGTTTTGATTGGCTTATTATGTTAGCTTGTTGTGAGTAAGTGTTTGGTAAAATTAGCTGTTATAAAACAACTGTTTGAGTGTAAAAAGACGTATAAGGACGTGAATATATATATACGAAATATATAATACTTGAGTAATGCCACTAGTGATAATGTTAAAACTATAATTATTATTTAATAAAAACAATATTTAATTTGAAAATGTTAAAAAAATAAATTCATTAAAATAAAAGTAAAATAAATCTGAATGAACATATCCTTTCCCAAGAATGCTAAACTAAATAATGCTCCACTAAGCATTAAAAATTTGTTGAGTATTATTAAAGTAGTCAAATAAACTGAAAAAATCCAACTAATAATGGAAAAACCAGAAAAAGAAAATTCAAGAATGAAGACAAGTACGTGTGTCTTTGTAGTTGTTGGTGAACAAGGATGACAAATGGCTGGAAGAATATAATGAAGAAGGTAAAATTGGGGGTACAAATGTAAAAATTCAAACAGCTAAGATCAAAACGCTGCATAGCATGGCTTTTCATTTTTCAGCTTGTTCACATGGATAAGCCAAATGGACAAGCCAATTACCAAACAACATTTTTGGCTTCTTCATCTGGTCAACCAGCTGTTATTAGTCAAACAAGCCAAAAGTTGGCTGATAAGCCATTTTCCAAACAACCCCCTTATCTTTATGATTCACGTTGGAATAGACATAGATACCAAGAGTCAAACACATGTGTTGTGTTCATTTAACGATGGCAGATTGGCAGGTATTTAAGTGACTTGAGTAAAAGGTAATAAATATAAAATGATGGTGGCCTTTATTCATATGTTAATATGTTGTACTCCCCATCTTGTAGGCCCAAATATGGGGTATCTGAAACATAATTCATTAACAGATGGGGTATAATATACCCTGAAGTAAGAAGTCAATTATGAACTTGTACTCACCATCTCTGTATTTCCTTCTCCTTAAAAAGGATGTTCTTTATCCTTTCATCATATAGTGGTACTAGGACAGTATGACTTAGTAGCACCGTAGCACTAACCAATTGTACCTTTGTTGCTTGCACATGTTTTATGTCTTTCTTATTTTTCTGATATGTATACCTTTCAAATTAGTATGAGTAAAGAGTTATTGATGTTTTGGTAACCAGAGTTTTGTGATGAATTTAGGTGACTTTGGGAAAAGAGTTATTCATTGTGGCTACTAATGTATCTGGTGTCCAATATTGCATTTTTAAAGAGTTTATTTGGATGCTATTTTTTGCCCAAAACCTGCCATTTTTTTTTGTCTTTATATCTTTCATTTTTTTTTCTGGATACAATATATGAAGAAAGTGATTAAACAAGAGATCGAAACCAGTATTGTGAAACTGCCTACGAAAAAAATATATTTAGAACAAGATGAGCTTGCTGAGGATTGTGATAGTGATTAACACACACACGCACACACTTATATATCATAGTATATATATGTGTTTCCTTTTGAACTATGTAATTTATTAGTTGACTGTGGCATAAATTTTAATTTTTAATCTTTTGGATATGCTATTTTAGATTCTGCACTTTATTAACTAAAAAATTGTTGATGTTTTGCTGCTCGTCCTCTCCTTGTGGATTCATCAATCTGCACCGCAATTATGAAGTTTGTGTTCACGTTTTCTCTTTAAGGTATGCCTTTCAATGCTAGATATTGATTTCTAAAGTATTCATTTCTGAATTTTTCTTTCCTTGTGATTTAAAATAAGTTATTATTTTATTCTAGAGAAAAATTTACTAAACAGAGGTACTCATTTTGACCTGAGGAATCTGAAAGAGAATCCTCTAATATGAAAAGTAAATTTAGAACTTTTTATTTGAAATGGAGTACATACTTATTACGATTTTTTATTTATACTTATCAGGTATAACTTTTTTAATTATCTTAAGGGTAACTGAATTGCCACTTTTTTTTAATTAAAACAGGATTTTTTGCCTTGTAAATGTTAGCGGTGATTATAGAAACGAAAAGTGAGCTTTAGAACTTTTTATTTGAAATGGAGTAACTCGCACCTTGATTATCGAACTTTTTTATCGATCTAATGTCAATTAATGCGATAAAAATTGTTTGGTATCATATTCATATTTATCTCATATAAAAGTATATGCTTTTAAGATTATTTTTTACATACCTAGATCATGAGCTCAAATGATAGATCGTGGATGTATCAAAGAAAGCTCGTAGACGGTCAACCTAATCTTGCATATATTGCGGGTGTCCAATTTTTCATTGAGTTTTCTTGTAATCATCCTGATGAAAGTATGAATGACTCGAAATTAAAGTGTCCTTGTGCAAAATGCAAGCACTTCAAATATTTAGCGGTTGATACCGTCACAAGTCACTTGTTAAGACATGGGTTCACCCCTGGGTACTATGAATGGGATAAACACGGGGAACCCTATAATGTAATTAACAATTATGATCAAGATAACACATATGTGGCTTCACATATGGAAGTAGATGAAACACAACCTATTAGACAGATGGTTTTTGATGCTGCTGGACCAAGTTTTCATCCAACCTCATTTGAAAATCAAAATATTGAAGAAGATCCAAATCCAGAATCGAAAAAGTTCTTTGATATGTTGAATGCAGCAGAAGAAGAGTTGTGGCCTGGTTGCGAGACGCATTCCCAACTATCTTTTATGTCCCGGTTATTAAGTCTTAAGTCTGAAAATAATTGGTCCGATAAGAGCTTTGATCAACTACTTCCGTTGATTAAAGAGGGGCAACCTGAAGGTAGCAAAGTGCCTACTAGCTTCTATGAAACAAAGAAACTAGTTAGGGGTCTTGGGTTACCTGTAGAAAAAATTGATTGCTGCAACATGGGATGCATGTTATTTTGGGGCAAACACAAAGATTTGCTGAAATGCAAATTGTGTGGTCACCAAAGATATAAAAGTGGAAAGAATAGTACAAAACTCACTCCTTACAAGAGAATGTACTACTTTCCATTAGCTGCAAGACTTCAAAGGTTATATGCTTCTAAAGTGACAGCAAGTGAAATGCGTTGGCATCATAAACACACTTGTGTAGATGGGAACATGTGCCATCCTGCGGATTCAAAGGCATGGAAACAATTTGATGTGACACATCCTTCTTTTGCTCTTGAACCTCGTAATGTAAGGCTAGGATTGTGTACAGATGGTTTCCAGCCTTTTGGTCAGTTTGGTAAAAAATATTCATCTTGGCCTATAATTGTGACTGCTTATAATTTACCTCCATGGATGTGCATGAAGGACCCCTATATGTTTTTAACTGTGATAGTACCTGGTCCAAGCAATCCTAAACATAAGCTAGACATTTTTCTCCAGCCACTTATACAAGAACTAAAAATGTTATGGGAGACAGGTGTTGCTACGTATGATGTGTCACTTCGAAATAATTTTCAAATGCGGGCAGCATTGATGTGGACTATAAGTGATTTTCCTGCGTATTCCATGTTATCCGGATGGACTACGGCAGGATTGAAGGCGTGCCCATATTGTATGGAAAATTCACAAGCTTTCTCACTTGGAAGTGGTGGAAAGACATCTTGGTTTGACAATCATAGGCAGTTTTTGGATAAAAATCACCCGTACAGAAAAAACAAAATCAAATTTAAAAAGAATCGGGTTGAAAATACTTCACCGCCTCCAATTAGAACTGGTGAAGATATTCTTCAAATGTTTGAGGAATTTGGGTTGTTAAAAGTCACTGAGCATGATGCAGAGGAAGTGAATGGTCCAACTGCTAAAATATGGGGATGGAATAAGCGCAGTGTATTTTGGGATTTGCCTTATTGGAAAACAAATCTGATTAGGCACAATCTTGATGTCATGCATGTAGAAAAGAATGTCTTTGAAAATATTTTCAATACGGTGATGGATATAGAAGGCAAAACAAAGGACAATGCAAAATCAAGAGAGGACATAAAAAGCATATGCAACCGAAAAGAATTAGAACAAAAACCTGATGGCAAGTATCCTAAGGCTTGTTATGCATTGGATAAATCTCAAAGAGAAGTGGTTATAGATTGGGTTCAGAATCTAAAATTTCCTAATGGATATGTCTCCAACTTAAGTAGGTGTCTTGATATGAAAAAATATAAGATGTTTGGAATGAAGAGCCATGACTGCCATATTTTCATGCAAAGACTAATTCCTATTGCTTTTCGAGAACTTTTACCGCCGCAGGTTTGGGAAGCGCTTACAGAGTTGAGCTTGTTTTTAAAGCTCTTAACTGCAACAGAGATTACACTTGCAGATATGGATATATTAGAACGAGAAATTCCTATTATTCTTTGCAAATTAGAGAGCATTTTTCCTCCAAGTTTGTTTGACTCAATGGAACACCTACCTGTGCATTTACCTTACGAGGCCAAAATTGCTGGGCCTGTTCAGTTTCGATGGATGTATCCATTTGAGAGATTTCTTCGGCGATTGAAGAAACATGTAAAAAATAAAGCTAGGGTTGAAGGGTCTATTTGTAATGCATATTTGGTTGAAGAAGCTGCTACTTTTTGTTCACACTATTTTGAGCCTCATATTCAAACACGTGCTCGTAAAGTACCTCGTAATGATGATGGAGGGGATATTGAGAAAGTTGAAGGGTCTTTGAATATTTTTTCACATCCCGGTCGTGCTTATGGCAAAGTAAAGAGAAGGATGTTAACACTCCAAGAGAAATCTGCTGCACAATCATATATTTTACTAAATTGTGAGGAGGCTGGAGAGTATATCAGGTAATTCATTTCATTCTAACTTCTGAATAATTCAATATATTATTAATCCTTTTTTCTCATTTTTTATTTGATACTTTATATTTGTATTTCTTGTAAATATAGGATGTTTGAGGAACATTTGAAAGAGATGTCACCAGACGAATTGAGCGATGTACAAATCAACAAAGACTTAGAGAAACACTTTGCTTCATGGTTTTATGAATATGTATGTTTGTACTTAGTGATGAACTAACTGATTTTTATAGCTACTGCATGTTCTCATTTGTTGTTCTATTTTACAGGAGTGTAAAAATCACATTGGGAACAACTTCATTCGTTGTTTGGCTCAAGGTCCATTGATACATATAAAACTGTATCCAGTGTACTTCATCAATGGTTTTAGGTACCACACAGAGGCACATAGTACTGGAAAGTCAACGATGAATAGTGGTGTTTGTGTAAGTGGGTCATCTTGTGACTACTTCGGAATATTACAAGAGATCATCGAATTGGAATATCCAGAATCACCCATGAAAAAGACTGTATTGTTCAAGTGTGAGTGGTTTGATCCAACACCAAATATTGGCACTAAGGTTCATAAGAAGTACAATCTGGTTGAGATTAACTACAAAAGAAGACTTCAGAAATATGAACCTTTTGTCCTTGCAATGCAAGCATCTCAAGTTTGTTATGTGTCATATCCCAGTTTGAGACGTGATAAGTGTGATTGGTTGGCAGTGTTGAGAGTTAAAGCTAGAGGGGTAATGAATGTGAATCTTCCAAAGGAAACAGATGGAATTGAAAGAGAGGATATTGCATATCAAGTGAACCAAGAACAAATTGAAGAGTTTCATATAAGTGACAATGAGGACGATTTTGCTCTTAATGACTCAAATGCAGAAGATGTTGATTTGGAAATCACTGATGATGAAAGTCCAGAGACAAATGAGGAAAACCAATATGATGAACCGGAATATGAAACAACTGAAGATCTAGGAGATGATGAACTTGATGATGATTATGATGATGATAGCAATTAGCATATATTATTGTATTTTATAGACGTGTTTTTTTAAACGTTGTAATTTGCATTATGATGACATGTTTGTTGCTTGATTATGAATTGCATTTTACATTTTTTGGTTTTCTAAATTTGTAATTTTAGGTAATTTGTATTAATTAATTACTTATATCATGTGATTCTAATTTTTATTTGATGTAGGTATGCCTCCAACAAAAAGAACTATTAAGAGTTCACTCTTAAAAGCTAGGATGATATCACTGGAGCAGCCCAATGAAGAAACTGACAGTGAAGTTAGCTCTCCAGATGATGAAGTGGAAGACCATTATAATGAGTTTGATGATAAAGAAATGGAGGATCAACATGATGAACGTACTGATGAGCGTACTAATGAGCAGAGTGAAGAACTGTTTGATGACGAAATGGAAGAACAGCCTACATTGCTTATACAAGAGCCATTTGAACATCCTCCTTTGCAACCTTGTGGCAAGCCAAAGAAATTTGTCAAAGTTGTGGGGAAAAAGTAAGTAATCTTTGTGAATTAATCTATGACTAAGAATATATAGAAGTGTACAATACTCTTAATATTATATTTTGTACTTTTAGATTAATTCCATCGAATCCAGTCTCTCGTAACCTGCGCACAAGTCTGAAAACGCGCTTAGATCCTGAAGGTCATACCTGGAAAACGGTCACAAAAAGGACCAAAGTATTTTATTGGAAAGAGTTTGAGGTTATATCCTTATATAATCTTTTTCAATAATTCATATTTATTTCATTTCATCTTGTTTTTTATTTCATTTTTATTTGTCAAATACAGAAGCACTTCTACTGGACTCTAGCTGTCAACGATATGGTACATAAGCTTTGGCTCCAAAATAGTGCTAGAAGATATAGTGACTTTTTAGGGGAGGCAAAGAGTGAAGAAACAAAAAAAGGAAAAACATATGCTTATATAAAATCTAATGTGTGGGTTAAGTGGAAGCAAGCTTGGAATGCACCAAACGCTAAGAAGAAATCTGAGATCAACAAGAAAAACCGTAAAGGGTCTTCCGGTGTTGGTGTTTGTACTCACACAGGGGGTTCTCTTTCTCATCAGGAAATTGCAGAAAAATTAGTAAGATTCTATAAATTTTAAGATAGATCGATAATTCTTACTTACTGCACTTCAACTTCATTCCCTGACTATTATTATTACCCTTGATATTCTGCTCAAATTCATTCTCGAATTCATTCCCTGGCCAGTATTTGTACTTCTTTAAATAGAAGACTTTCATGCTTTATATTTATTTATTCCAGGTTACATTTGCAAGTAAAGGAGATTGAAACTATAAATCTCAAAGGGGACTTTTCAGTTTGTCCATTGCTGTAAATTTAAGAATCATATGCACTAATTTCGTTGTTCATTAATTATTCTTGTTGTCTTGTCATGTAAACTGACGTTGCTTTGTGTATGTGTTGAGTTCTTTTCCAAGTAAAAGATATGAATTGCATGTGTTTTGTATGGTAGAGTTTGGTCTGCAAATCGGGGAAACTTTGTCAGATTTCAGATTTATTTTATACAGGAATATTGGATTTTATATGTCATATGCATAATTTTTCTTGTGCAGGAGAAAGAATTAAACAGGAAGCCCAATGTCCTTGATCTATTTTTATATACTCATACAAAGAAGCATGATCGAGTCACCTTCATTGATGAGCGCTCCCGTAAAGTTTACGTAAGTTCTACAACAAAATTTTAAACTTAGTTAGATGTTTTAGTTTTATATCTTATTGTTTGTATTCATACACTTTTTAGGAAGCATTTCAAGCAAAAGCAGAAGCATTAAAGCGGGAAACCCAAATTGAAGAACTTACTGAAGAGAAGATCAATAAAATCTACTATGAGGTTGTTGGTGGTCATATACGTGCTAGAGTATATGGAACAGGATCTGGAGAATCTTTGTTTTATGGTAATGATGATGGCGGGGCAGCATCCACTACAACATCATTAGATCCGTCATCTGCTGAAGTTCATTCTCAAGTTCAGAAATTGTTTGAGCAAGAAGCTGAACAATTACGTAAAGTGGTGCGTGAAGAAATGCGTGAACAAATGAAACTTGAGATGCGTGAAGAGATGCGTGAACAAATGCAACTTGAGATGCGTGAAGAGGTTCAACGCCAGGTTCGGGAGTTCTTTAAATCATCATCACAACCAGCCCCAAGCAATTAAGATCGAGGATAACATTGATGGTCACATATCATTTAGTCCACTAGAGCTTTAGTTGTGCTATCTAGAATCACTAATGATGTTTTGTAATGTATGATACTTATCATTTTGGTACTCCTATTCTAATTTGATACTCATTACTATTTTATTTTGCACTTCCAATTTATGCTTGATGTTTATAATTTAGACTTGTTACATTATCCATTCATATGCATTGTATTTTCGGAAAAGAAATTTTAGTAGGTAAGTTTGAAAGTCATCATCCCTAAACTACCAACGGATATTCCCGACGGATATTACCGACGAAAATATTTATTACCGACAAAAAATTATTGGTCTCTCTTTTAGTTTCCCTAGGGAATATTATTTTTTACTTCGGAATTCCGTAGGTAAATTACCTACGGTTTCATACATCCGTCGGTAATATTATTACCTACGAGCATATTTCCAACGACGTCAAACCGTCGGTAATTCTGTCGGTATTTAAATTTCCCTTCCAAAGTTTATCTTTTCCGTCGGTAATTTCCGTAGGCATTAACAGCATTTTCTTGTAGTGAACTATACTTGATAAAGATCATGTACAAAAAACGCATTAAAAATTTCCACCAAGGGCCCAAAATGCCTTGGCCGGACGGCGGTTCCCGTTAGGCCGCCTGGACGTGAAAGATTGTCATACATGTATATCCACGTAATATAAAATTAGTACCCCCTCTATCCCAAATTATTTTGCAAAATTAACATTTTTGTCATCAAATAATAAAACTCAATCCTCTCTATCGATAATTAATTCAATTTTTTCATAATTAAAAAAAAAATTACATATTCAGAATCTACGTTAAAGTCTTTCCAAAGTTGCAAACTCTAAATTAAAATATAATAAAAAATTGACATCCTAATTAAGCGAATATAATGAAACTGTTTGATTAAAAAAAGTTAAATTTGTAAATCAATTTGGGACAACTCTATTTTTTTAAAGTGTATAAAAATGTGATATAAAATGTGATATCCAGCAATATTTAGAGGATTTAGATGGGGAGAGGGTGGTTTGAGGTTGTGAATTGGGGGAAGGGGGTGGTGGCGTGTTTTGGGATTGTGGGTAGTGAAGATTGCAAGGATAAGGGATTGGGGTATAGAAACTTGTAAGACGATGGAGGTGGTTGGGGGACGTCTGTGAAAGGAAATATTGAGTCATCGAAAGTAAGATGTGAAGATATAATGATATAATGATTTTGTCCGTAGTAAAATCTAGACAATGATACGCACGACGTTAAGAAGGGAAATCTAGAAAAACACAACGAGCAGACCGGTGAGCGAGTTTGTTAGGATTGTTGGATCAAAGATTGGGATACCAAAGACAACCAAAGTTGCGGAGGTGATCATATGTAGGTTTGAGATAATACAAAGCTAACACTGAAGAGATGAAGGCTAGAGTTTTAGTTGGAAGGACATTGAATGTAAGTAGGACTGATGTTGCTGATAGTTGCCTCTCCTTGAACAAGAAATATGAAATTATGTGCTTCAAGGTGGAATCCAATTACAAAAAAGAAACCCCGGGATGAATACTCACCATATTTGAGATCAAGAGTAATTGAGATAAGGGGTTGGGGGTGAAGGCGGGGTGAATGAGTGTTCTAGGTGATGTTTCATCAACCACGGCTAGAAGAGAGAGAGAATGCAGAGAACAAAGGTTACATTTGAAAAAAAAAATAGTTTAGAACTCTAGATTGACGTAGTCTAATATCATTTAGAAAATATGCAAGACCTGCTTGAGGTAAACCTTTACATTATGTCAATTTGTACAAGAATGGTGTTTGAATTATAGGGATGGAGTAATTACAAGAGGATTATGTGGGATTTGCAATCAACTACTCCGTAATTAATTTATTACAAATCATATAAATATGGATAGATGTTGTATCTAAATAGAAAAGAAATTGTTTTATAAGGTTGATTATGTGTTTAACTCTTTAAAAATGATAAGAGAGTTATTAACAATTAATAAGCGGTGCAAAAAAAAAAATGTTAAAATTTAAATAGAAACAATAACATATAACTAAAATTAAAGTAATGTGTACATTGTACCATACTAAGTTATTCATGGATTGGTGGATGCTCAGACTTAAAATTTTACAACTTAATATTTTGATATAAAAAATTAATGTTTACTCACTTTATAACTGAAGAGTGCGGAATTGGTCGTATTTATGATTTTTCGCTCATTTTTATTTTATACAATACTCATTTACATACAAAAGATATACTCTAGGGAATACCAAAAATTTATTAGAGTAATATTTATTTCTATCATTTAGATATACCATATAAATAATAAATTTATATGTATAATAAATTTATACATATTTATTACTTTAGTTGTGTAAAAAATTTATTACTTTACATTTTAGAGTTACATTTTAAGTGCTTAATTTTCATAGAATCATTTCTCTCTTCTTTAATTTACTAACTCGAATCACTAGTTATATCACAATTTTAGTACTCTCCACGTCCCATGCATTTTTGGATTGTCCCAATATACATGTGTTATTTCTATTTTGAAAAGAAATATGTGATCCACAACATGTTATTTTATTATACTTAATCTCTAATCATAATATTTACTTTTCAACCACTCTATTTATAATATTCGTGTTAAACCAAAATAAGTCACATAAAATAAGATAAAAGTAATACTACGTATTTATTATTAAATTATCAAAAATTTGGGACGGATATATGGACTCGGGGAGCTCACCCCTACATCCGCCACCGTCATTAAGTACTACAAAATTTATGATAATATTATAAAAATATACCTTCACCAGTTCAGTTCAATCAAACATACATACATCAATCTCTTTGTACACGTCTCATGTACATCCCTGTTTTTGTCTGTATGGAGACAACTTTTAAACCAATAATTTATTGTTCGTGACACCCTTTCAAAAAGGAAAAAAATGTTTGTGCATAGACAGAAAAATGGACATTATATACTGATATGCATCATAATAAACTTAACGTCTACATGAAGCAATTTTGTAAAACTTAGCTTCTACACAAATCATTTTTGTACATATACATGGATTGGAAACTTACTTCATCACTGGAGCTTTGAGAAGCATCATCCAGAACAGAAACTTCAGTTTCGATCAAGCAAATGTCATCGACAAGATAACCTTCACTTTTATTGTGAAGCTTACTGAGCGAGATAAATGAAGAGTAGCCATCAGTAGTGCATAGAGCGTCATATTTACCTTCCGTATCTGTATTGCATAATGCCGAAAAAGCAGAGTAAAACGAACTCTATACAATTAGGAGGTTTTACATGAATATTACTAAATTAAAGCTAATTTCAAAAAGTGACCACATTTAAATTAGAATAAAAAAGTGACTAATTGATGTCACTGTCATATTTTCATTTCACTATCAGATTTATTGTCACTTACATATATTAGTAACATCATCGCCTATGTTACTGCCACCACCGTCAGTGTCACTGCCGACACCGTTGGTGTCACTGCCCTGTCGGGGTCACTCCCGCAGCTAGTGATGGCAACGGGGCGGATCGGGGACGGGTACACATAAAACCGGAACCGCCCTGTTGGATAAATGTTTGCCCCAAAACCGCCTCATTACCCATTCGGATAATTTTTATTTGAACCGTACCCGCCCCAACGGGGAATCGGTTTATCCACGGGTAACCGTTTCCCCAAATGATACCAAATAACCAACTTTTTTGGGAAAACAAATAACCAATTTTTAATCCTACTTGTTACTTATATATTCAAAGCACCCTAAAACATGCAAAAATAAACATTTAAGCAATCAAACATACTGACCTAAATTCATTAGTATGACATGCACCCAATATCTCTTGTAACATAATAAAAAAATATTAATCATCCCAGAATCCAAATTTCAAAAATAGGTTTAGGCCTATATTTAATTTTAGGCCTAAAAAAGTAGTATACTTTTTAGCATTATTTATATGATATATACTATTTATTATACACAATTTAGCATATATAGTTATCATTCTTAAATATAAAAAGTTATAATTTATTAATAATGTTATCGATCGGGTAACGGTGCGGGTACCCGCACCACTAGTGAACGGGGCGGTTTCGGGGCGGATAACGGGGTGGATTAATATAGAACCATAACCGCATCATTAACCATTTAAAAAATTCGGGTATTCCCCGCCCCGTACCCATTCCCTAGTCAAATCGGTTTTCCCCAGTTTGACCAAATCGATTCGGTGCGGGTATCCAACGGGTCGGTCGAAATTGCCATCTCTACCCTCAGCCAATGTCTCTTTCATATTTATACAACTTTTCTATAACATATTTTGTTAGGACCCTCAGGCATTGATAGTTTCGATGATGCCACCCTCCGTTTGGTTTAGACTTTCATTCAAGTACTAGACTTATCTACTGCAGCTGAAGAAGATAATCTGCTCCAACACAATAAGACGAAAGTACAATACTTTGGACGACAACGATTAAATTATCTCAACCAACGGAGGAGATTAATCAACCGGAGATGCCTATAAATACAGGCATAAGCATGAGTTCATATTCAAGCTTTTGAGAGTCTTCTAAACAGAGAAATCATACTAATCATTCAAAGAGATACCTAGCAAAAGAGAAAGTGCTCATTTAACTTTGCTCTCTATTTAGATTCATGCTTCACTAAACTTCCGAGTTAGAATTCTCATTGCCATATTCTGGAAGTTTAGTTCTTAGTTGGAGGCTAGAAATTGTGTTAAATATTGAAAATGTTGTAAACACTTAGAAGGACAGTGTTGTCTAGTCCTAAGTGTGGTAAAATAGAATAGAGTACCTTTTGATCCCCACTGATCAATCGAGAAAATCTAAGGACTGAGTAACTTGGAGTGGTGTGTACTCCTTATGAAAAAGCCAGACGGGCACTAAGGTCTGAGCTAGTTGTGTGAAAACAGCCACACGAGCACTAAGGGGCTTAATACTTTAGTGGAAATCCATCTGAAAGAGGGTGAGGCTGGATGTAGGAGAATTACACCACCTCTGAACTAGGATATATTGTGTGTTGATTCATTTTCAGTCAACAAAGCACACACCAAACACTTCTTCAACTTAGCAGAAACCTGAGCAGTAACCTCAGCAGCAGTCTACGGTCCACTTCACTGCTCACCTCTCTGCTAAGCATACTGTTTGTCTATACACTTATCTAAAGACATCTCAATGCTTTATAAGTCTTCTTCACTCTTCATTAAAATCTCTTTCTTAAAACAGAAGTCTCTAAGCTATACATATCACCTTCGAAGTAGAAACAGAAGACCTCGCGAAGGATTCTGTTCCGAGGCCAACAGAAGACCTCACGAAGGATTCTGTTCCGAGGCAAACAGAAGACCTCGTGAAGGATTCTATTCCGAGGCCAACAGAAGACCTCGCGAAGGGTTCTGTCACGAAGCCACCAGAACACCATACCTAAGTGTTCTGGTTGAGACCTTCTGTCCAGAGCATCTCTGCTACCAGGCACTTCTGTCACTAAAAATAAGGAACATTCATTTTGCCTCACTCAAACACTTCATTTAGGTTCCTTTGATACTATAAAACTTATCTGACTATCTCTCAGGCTTCTTCTTGTCCACCTACTAAATAGAAAGTTGTTATATACATAGAAGTCAAGACTTCCGCTGTGGATCTTTAATCTCTCAAAAGGTTATTGATCATCAAATCTGGTAGGGAAACTTTTTAAAGAGATGAAGCTTTAAAAGTCTATAACTTTTAGAGAGAGAGAGGGGGGGAGAGAGTGTAGAGAACAAAGGTTACATTTGAAAACAAAATAGTCTAGAACTCTACATTTGAAAAAAAAATAGTCTAATACACGGATGTTTCAACATTTTATACATGATTTGCATCTTCATGTGTGTGGGTTACATTTTCTTATGCGCAATTTACATTTTCATGTGCACAAGTTACATCTTCACATGCATGAGTTACATTTAGACTTACCCACCAATGGTGCTCCCACATTATAGCAAATGTATAAAAGTGTTATGAAATAGAAAAAAAAGTATGTTTAGAGAGAAAGATTATATTATTAACTTGCTTGTCACATCAGCTTTTTCTGGCTAATTCTTCTTCTTCTTCTTTTAATTTTTTAATTTTTTTAAAGGGCAGTTGCCTCCCTCCAACCTGCACATGATTTCTCCATTCCCATAGCCGAACCGCCCTTTCACCTATCTTCGTCGCAAACGCATGCAGTAACTTCAACACTCCCTATCTTGAAATTAGCTAATTCATTTTCAAGCAATGTATAGTCCAGTGATTAGCTGTAATGTTTGCCTCTTGAATAGGCACCACAAATCAATCAATTTTGAAAATATACATTTTCAGTGAATTGATTTTTTAATACAATAAAAATAATATTTATTTTAAAATATTTTTAAATTGAGTAAATCTAAAATATTAGTGTTATTATTATTAATATAATGAGGATAATATAAATTCAAATTTTTCTCTCCAAAACGTTGTCAAATATGCTCAACCAAATCCATTGCAGTACTTTACCTGGCCATTGCTAATTTAGTATTATCAATTACTAATATATTAAATATATTTGGGAGTTATCGTTACAGTTCAAATTTCTCTCCTTTCTAGCAAGTAGGTTGTTTTGACCAATATGCTTGTCCAAGCTAAAAAGGAAAGATGACTCCAAATTTCTAATAATAGGCTAGTAGATGCTCTAATACCTCACCACTCCAACTAGTCTTGGAGATTACTAATTTACGGTAAAGAAAATTGACGATAATACCGAGTAGAATCCAGACTTCACATTCATAACAATTAACAATCAAGATATAGGTAGGCTCTTTAATGGGGCTGAAAGGCCAAGAGTGCGATACTGTGATTGAAAAATGTCCCATGATAAATACGGGTGAAGAACGTTTGTAGTGAAGAATATGGGGAAATACCTTTCTTGATGGTTTTGTTGGTGTGTATCTGGTTAATAAGAGCTAGACTGAATTTAGGGGTTACACTCCACCCATCGGGTAAGCTTGATGTATCAACCACACGGAGGAACAGAGACAAATGATCTCTTGGGTTTCCTTTTGGATAAAGGCACAGCCTCCTGCAGATACACATAAAAAGAAAACTAATCTACGCACATAATTTGCCAAATAGAATTATATATCCTATAATGTACGGAGTATATGTTATTTGGGAATTTACAAGTTGATGGCATACGTACCATTTGTACTCATTCACGACAAACGTCACCGAGTAAATCTTTATATCATCAATTTTCGAGAAATCTTCAATCCTCCATGTAAGTTTTGGCATCATATAATATATTGCTTCAATTCGTCTTTTAATTTAAGCTTTTCTGCGTTCCTTCTGTCAGCATAACCCACCATTAAATTGATGGCATAAAGGAAAATAAGAAACAAAGCTAAACTTCCTACAATACTTATAATCAAATAGCAAAAATTACACATTTCACAGTAAAAATTAAAACTTACTGAATAGAGACTAGTTTAATTCGAGGCACACCGTCCTCACTCTTTTGCTACTTTTGAAATTAAAGAAAATGTACCTTCACGGACTTCACTTAACTTACACCCCCTACGTACACTCTTTCTAAGTTTGCTGTATAAAAATAACTACCTGGTATTATATATTCATCTTGGTTCATGATGTTTTAATAAACCTGGGCTTAGTTAAATTTATGAACAGATTTACTTATATGCTAACGCTAAGTAATTGGTGATATACTAATATACTCCGGAGAAATTTGTTGATTTAGTCCCGTAACTTATAGCTATACCCGATATTGGTCATGTAACTTTATTAACTTGCAAATTACATCCCATAACTAATAAGTTGGTGCAATTTTGGTCCTTCTCTGCCGGAACTTACCAATTTCGCCGAAAAAGACACATCACCTGCCACATGGTATATTATTTGGAACTCATTTGCAGACTCATGTTGGCTCTTAGCTAGAGTTAAAAAATTATTTCTTCTTGGTTGCAGCAGGAGCATTTTGAATGAAGTTTAAAGCTTTTTGGATTCATATTTTAAGAATAAAGCATTTGAAATGTTACATCATCTTCACTTCTCACATCTTTAACATGAGAAAGACCAGGAGCAAAACACTAGCCCCACAACAACTATGAGGAGCCTTTTATTTATAGCCTTCAACTTTAATTTACAACCTCTTCCTCTTTTGAATTGAGTCTTCTAACCAATCCCGGAATTATCATCGTTCAACGATGACACATAGGTGGGTCCGCACATTCAAAAAATCTGCAACCTTCTGTCTGTATCAAAACAAGATTAAGCTTAACTTACTTTTTACTACTTTGAACACAAAAATACATTATCAAATGCCCCCAACAAATAGAAGATGGTAATTTTATTAGCAGAACCTAGCTTAAGTTATAAAATACATTTTAATTTTCAAACAAATTTATTATTCAAATGCTATTCTTAAATTTCTAGTTTATTTAGTAAAAAAAGAAGCAAACAATGTAAATTAAAAAGCTGAACTTCTTACTCTGCTTCTAGCGCACACACGAAACCTCCTTCCAGGATCGTTATCAGTCCAAGAAGTTAGAAGAGAAACCTTTTTACCACAATCACACTCCATAAACTTTTCTCTGATCGAGAGCCGTTACTAGCAGATTTGAAGAATAACTCACTCTCTCGACTTAGTTCAGAAGAAATCTTCAGGTAGAGTTATATGTTCTTCCCCCCTTTTGCAGATCCGATAATAGGCTTGGTATGGTTGTGCACGCACTTAGCGAAGAGATTTCGTACTCTGGTTTTTTAACTCCAGCTAAGGGCCAATATTGAGTCAGCAAGTGAGTTCCAAATAATATACCATGTGGCAGATGATGTGTCTTTTTCTAACGAAATTGATAAGTTCCGGCAGAAAAGGACTAAAATTGCACCAACTTATTAGTTATGGGATGTAAATTACAAGTTAATAAAGTTACAGGACCAATATCGGATATAGCTATTAGTTATGGGACTAAATCAACAAAATTTCCCATATACTCCGTATTATATATTACGGAGTATCAAATACAACGAGAAGAGACTTAAGAAAGGATTTACTATTGCAAATCCGGAATTGATGATAATGATTAGCACTGGCTCGCTCGCTTCGTATCCTGCGCCCACTCCTGATTACTCCCAAGGTTGTTCAGTCGTTGCCTCTTGCGTTCTTCAAAGCGCAAATGCTCACGTAATAATTAATAATGCTGCCAGGATTTATGGGAAAAATAACCCATTTATTGGGTATACTCGTAGGGGTGCACATAGTCCGCTAATTTTACTGTCCAGATCTTGAACTCTGTTTAGAATAACCGTATGGAAGGGCAAATTATACCGTACGACCGGTATACCATACACATGGTATACCGGTATAAATACGGTACCGTTTTCTAACTAAATCTCGCTCACTTGCATTCCCCACTCGCATGATTCGTTTTCTAATTTTTTTTTGTATTTATTCAAAAGCTTTTCCCATCCAGTTGAACACTCCCACTCCCCCACCCTCTTTCTTTTTATCTTTTTCGTTTTTTTACTTTTAAAGTTTCCATTATCAAAAGCTATCATGTTTCCAAATGATTTTTTTAATTTAGGAACATTGAAATGTGTATTACAATTTTGTGATCAAATATTAATCCTTTCAAAATAAATTAGTTACTTTTTGTTTGTCTTAGTACTTATTCATACATTTTTTTTATTCTGAGAATTATTTTTTTACTTATCTTTGTTTTTATATTCTGAGAAATATTTTTTATCACTTTTATATGTTTTAGAGGGTTTTAAGACATTAAGTTTGTTTATTTTGATTCTTGAAGTTATATTTGATAATATATCATGAAGTTAAATCTTCTTCTGCGCAAGTTACATCTTAATGTACACAAGTTACATCTTAATGTATGCAAGTTACACCACGGAATAAACTCCTGCTATATCATTTTTATTGCCCTAATATTAAAAATAAAACACATTCACTATTTAAAAAAAGTAATTAAGCTATTAGGATCAATTTTTCATTGCTTACATTGAAATCAATGTTTATAATATCTCAAACAAAAAAAACCATTTTTCAATTTTCCAACAAGTTACATTCTGTATACACATAAGTTACATTGGCCATCAACGCGAGTTACATTGGTAATAACACGAGTTACATAAAAAAATCAACCCCTGCTATTGAATAAAAAAATGAACTTTTTTAAAAAATTATTTTTGATGGCCATGATATTAAAAATAAAACACATTCACTATTTAAAAAAAGTAATTAAGCTATTAGGATCAATTTTTCATTGCTTACATTGAAATCAATGTTTATAATATCTCAAACAAAAAAAACATTTTTCAATTTCCCAACAAGTTACATTCTGTATACACATAAGTTACATTGGCCATCAACGCGAGTTACATTGGTAATAACACGAGTTACATAAAAAAATCAACCCCTGCTATTGAATAAAAAAATGAACTTTTTTAAAAAATTATTTTTGATGACCATGATATTAAAAACAAAACATATTCATGTTTTACCTAAATCAATTGTGCAATTAGACTCTTTTTTTTCATTGTTTACATTGAAATTAATATTTGACAAATTACATTTTGGATGGGCTGGAGTTACATTGATCAATAATGTGAGTTACATATCTTTACACGCGAGTTACACCATCTATATATGTTACTGGGACAAAAAAAGTCACTGTACACGCGTGTACTGTTCACGCGTGTACTGTTCACCCGATTTTTTTAAAAAAAAAAATTGCCCAAAACTATGGGAGTGGGAGCATGATGCTCATGGTGGGACGGTCGTATGGTATACGAACTGGTATGGAAGTACTAAATTATACTACTCCGTTCTTAAATAAGTGCAACATGTGAAATTTTACACTATGCACATGTTATATTTTGACTACATTTTATTTATTGATGTATTAATATATATTTTTGAAAAATATATTGTTAAATTTGTCTCATTGTAAATTTTCAAAAACTGATTTTTTTAAATTTTTTACTAATAGAGAATTATATATATTAATGGTCAAAGTTGTGTCTCGGCAAGTGTGAAATGTTGACTGTTGCACTTATTTAAGAACGGAGGAAGTACTTCGTATGAGAGTACTTATTTTAATTTTAGAATTTTCAAAACGTTTTTACTTCTTGGGCGGGGGACATTCATGGTAAGGGGTCATGCCCCACCTAGATTTAATTGTTTTAGTAGTAATAGTGCTTTCTTACTTTATTTGTCCCCTTCTCACAATTGATTCTTTAGCAAATGTCCAACTATAACATTTAGTAAGGGTACATTTGGTTGGAGGGAATTTCTTATATAGGTCGGAATGTGATGCCCAGTATGTGAGATATTTGCGTTTGGTTTGTGTGTTTGAATTTTTTTTTGGAATGTTACATTCCCAAAAAGTGAAAAAGAAATCACATGCCCCTTCATGTGAAACCCACTTAGGCCTTAGGTTTTGTGACATTCCTGGTTGCTTTTCAATTTTATTCCACAAATACCCACTAATCTTTGTCATTTGTGTAATTAAACATATTTTGCTTAGAATTATTTACTAATTTTCATTAATCTTAGTCATTTGTGCAATTAAACATGCTTTTCTTAAAATTAATTCAATTAGTTTTCATTTTAATTATTATTAAGATGTTTTATTTTTCTTTAAATTTAATTACTTTGTACTCCCTCCGTAACTTTAAAATCTTCCCACTTTCCTTTTTCGTCCGTAACAAAAAAATCTTTACATTTCTAAATCTTCCCATCATACCCTCAATAATTCTGAAAATAATACACTATTACAACTACTTTTTTTGGATTTATCCTACATTCCATCACTTTATTCCACTATCTTCCTATTATACCCTCAATAATTCATATTCTTTTTCACTATTCTTAATCTACCTACTTTTCAAATGGGAAGATTTAAGTTACGGAGGGAGTAATAAGTTTAATATGTTACAAGACAAATATTTAAAGGACATTTAAGTAATTCACAAAATATGTAATATATGATATCATTCAACCAAACAACTTAATGTCACATTCCCTTAATCGTAACCAAACACAAATGGGTTACACATTAATCGCATTCTTATCTATCTAACATACCCAGTAATCTAATATTCCCATGGTAATTTGACATTTCTTGAACCAAACGTACTCTTATAGGTTTTTAATTCATTTTGTGGGGTGCATCAACTAAGCATGAAGTAAAATAAAAGTTTGAGTTTAACATGAGTTGCTTATGGTATTATTCATGTAATCTAGATAGAGGAAAAAAGATAGGGGAAAATTGGAATTGGATTATATGAAGGATATATTTTCTTAAGAAAATACTTTTAACTTTTAAATTCGAAATTTAGTATCAATGTTTACAAAATAGATGTCTATAATTAAATTAAACATTTTAAAGCTAAATACACTTGTCTGATTTCTATTACACAAAATACAATTTTAAATAATTATTTTTGAGTACGTAGTAATAATCGAGAATTTAAATTTGTATTGCATCATAACATCTTGAATATTTTAGGATGTTTTCTTTTCGACTGTTTTTAGTCCCAGACCAGACCAGATCATATCTGACCAAACTTCCGTAATTATTAAATACATATAGAACAGACGTTTACCAGACCAGACCCGACTAGTTCAGATCAAACCAGACCAGCAAATTTCAGTCCAAACGAAAACATTCTTTGTGGCGATACTTTAAAACTTTTTAAATATATAATTCAATTATTTATTGATGATTTACATGACGTGTAAGAGAAAGTTCTAACCAAGCATTTCAGGCCAACTGGTTGTGAGGTTACTGTGCCTAGTGGGAGGTCTCAAGTTCGAAACCCGCTAGGCACATAAGGGTTCGAAACTCAATGGAGTGAGTTTCAGCCCTGATTACTCCAGACTCTCTCCCCTAGACCCCCCCGGAGTAAAAAAAAAAAGTAAGAGAAAGTTCTAAATATCAATTGACATGCTATTGGATATTCATTTTCAATTTTTTTTATGATTATTAATAGGGAAAAAGGGCAAATCTCCCCCTAAACTTATACCTATAGGGCATCTAAGCCCTCAAACAAATTTTTGGAGCAAAAAACTCCCGTTTACAGTAAAATAGGGCATATCTCCCCCTTACTCACACGGAGCAGTTAACAATTAGCAGTCTGGGTTTTTTACCAAAAAAAAAAAAAAAAAAATTAACAGCTGGGTTAGATTTCCTCTACCTAAATCCCATCCAAATCTATATTTTTGTGAGAAAATATCTTAAATAAACATGTGGCAAATTAATTAACTAAATGTTGAATTATAGAGTTAACATGATTTAATTGGATTGAAATTTTTTTTTATCTGATGTAATTTGGTCTAATCAATTTTTGTCTGCTCTGGTCTGATCTGTTATAAAAGTTTTTAATTATACTTATTTCAGTGTTACACAAAATCATACCTGAACAAATGTGAATAGACATAAAATAGACTAGACCTAAAAAAATATAAAATATTCAGAAACCAGAAATCTACAGAACAAGATAAAATCGAACAATTCAAACTAGGCCAAATCACTAAGTACATCCAAGCTCATATTTCTTTTTTGTGAGCAAATGTCTTAAATAAACATGTGGCAAATTACTAGCCGATGTGTCAAATTATAGAGTTGGGAAATTTTTAATTGGACTAAACTTTTTTTTATCTGATCTAGTTGATTTGATCTATTTTAGTCTCGAGCTGGTTTGGTCTAAAGTTTTATTTTATACGTAGTATTACTTATACCGCTGCCTCACTTAAAAGTTCATGTCCACTATTATCTGGTCAATGTAAACTGATTTATAATCTTTTACTTTATATATTCAACTTTTATTAAATTTAATTTTTTATATTAACTTTATAAAACTTTTAATGTAGCTGCTGGTATCTATATCTTAATATTATCTTTATAATATACGCATTAAAAATGTATGATAAGTCGAGAATATATACTGTACAATAATTTGGGAGGAATTTTATTATTTTTAATAATAAATGAATACAAATAAATTATATGCGGATTATAATATACGGAGTATATATATAATATTAATGACATTTCATAGCAGACAAGATGAAGGTTTTTTTCGATTGAAATTTTATGGCCTGCTGTCTGAATTGGTTTGATTTTGTCTTGTACGATAGATCTCTAGTTTTTGAGTATTTTATAATTTTTCGAGGTCTAGTCTATTTTATTTCTATTCAGATTTGTTCAGGTGTGATTTTGTCTATGACTGAAATAAGTCTAAGTAAAAACTTTTAAAACAGATCAGACCAGATCAGACAAAAATTAATTAGACCAAATTACATCAGATAAAAAAAATTCAATCCAATTAAAACATGTTAACTCTATAATTCGACATTTAGAGCCCGTTTGGTAGCACAAAAATTGGCTATTTTGGCTGATTCTGCTGAAATTTATGAAATTCTGGCTGAAGTGGCTGCATTGGCTGATTCTGCTAATTTAAGAAAAAAATATTTTTTAAAATATATTTTATTTATAAAATAAAGAAAAAATTATATGTAAAAATAACTAAAATGGTCATCTACAGTAACATCAACCAATACAGCCAGAAGAGTAACTTTAATCTTACTTTTTCTGCTTGTTACACAATTCAGTGCGCGAAAACAAAAGTTACGTGTTTGGTGAAAAAATTGACGGATAAGTCTGATAAACCGAAAAACAGTGTTATCAAACGGCCTCTTAGTTAGTTAACTTGTCCCATGTTTATTTAAGATGTTTGCTTACAAAAAAAGATTTGGATGTAATTTAGGTAGAAATAAAACCCAAGGCAGTTAAGTACTCCGTGTGTTAACCGTGAGTGAGGGGGATATCAGATATAGCTTCTTTTACTGGGGAGTTTTTTGGTCCAAAAATTTGTTCAAGGGCTTAGATGCCCTTTATGTATAAGACTAGTTATTTTATCGCGCGATGCGCGAGAGAATAATGTCCAATTTTAAGTGTTGTATAGATGTTCATTCTTTTATAATATATCGTAGGAGTGTTGAGTGTGTTACAATGACACATTTTAGAGTTACTAAAAGGATAGTAAAAGCATATTTGGATGGGAACCTATTTCTAAACATATCTTCCTAAATAACTTAAAGAGATACTTTTGTTAAAAGAGTTATATCAAACAAAGTGTGTGTTGCCATCTTGGTTGTTAATACCTAAGTCGCATACTTTGTTCATGTATTTTATAAGATATAAGATTTGATAAAGAGAGTACAACAAAAATAAGATATAAGATTTGATAGTATGATCGGTTAATTATTCCCAATTTTGATAAGAAATACGGAGTAGTCATGTCTTATTAGGAATAACTAAATTCTTCCAAATTAGTTATTGCATAAGTTTTTCCAAATTTTGTCTAAGCTATTAATTGTTGCTTCCACTACAAGATGCTATGGGTAAAAGAGAATATAAACTTATGTGGTGTTTTTAAGAGTATTAACATCAAATAGGTAGAATGGGTGAACCATGTGTTCTACCATGTGTTCTAAAAAAAAGCTATATGCGGCCTATAACTATATAGTGTTGCATTGATACTTCTCCCAGTTAAATTCTACGTACAATTTGCATAGATTGAGATTAATCACTAATTAGAAAGACAAACTTTCACCAGGACAAACTCCGAAACACGTTGGGTGCAAGAAAATTTTAACGCAAACTCTTCTGATTAAACTTACAGTTTACACAAATTTGTAAATTGATGAAAAACATTAATACGGAGTTCCATTTTGACAAACATGCTGCTTTTGAATTTCTAAGAGACCACTAAGGTTATATTTTTCATTCATCCTTATAAACCTTTCTTAATTTATGAAGTTAATAATCATTTCCTTTCAACATGACCTTTAAAAAACATTAATAATATGTCCCATGGAAAAAACTAACTACTAAGAGTTCAACTTAAATAATTTTATTTCGACCAACAACATAAAATACGGAAAAAACTGAATACTACGTACGGTATAATTTTTCTGTTAGTACAATTTAACACCACAACCTTAAAAGTAAATTGAATGGAAATAAGTGAAGAAAAGCTTTTCTAAATAGTCTTTGACAGTTTCAACTTAATAGCTACACACGAATATAATAGAGTAACTTTAAGGATTTTTTTACTTGGATTGTAATCTGTCCCAGAACAGACCAGATCAGAACAAACTTGGATAGTTATAAAAATCCAAAGAAACCAGATCAGACCAGACTAGACCAAACCAGATCAGACCAGACCAGCAAATTACAGTTCAAGTAAAAACATCCTAACCGCCTTTATGTTTGGACTGTCTTTGGGGAGCTAGTAACTTAGAGTTTTATTACCTCTCATGTCAAATACATAATTGGTAACAAAAATGTAATCATTAATGTGGAGCTTCAAGAGGAACTCAACATCCGGTCAAAAACTTCGACCATTGCAGATGACCCCCAGGCACTTAAACTTTAACCAGTGAACTATCTAAGTATTAAAAGTTGGAGGTCGTTTGAGGGTGACATAAGAGACACAGATGAACGGAAGGCATAACGGTGACGTTAAACAAAAAAATGAGTTCCTTTATTGTGGTACACATCTTAAAACATATTGTACAATCTCATTAAGCTAGATGATTACACCAACATTTTTTTCATCCCTAAAATGCCCTAACCCTCATTGGCAATTATAAGATTTTAAGATTAGGGGGGATTTGCCCCTTTTCCCCTATTAATATACTACTCCGTATCATATATCATTTGAAATTTACATTACATTTTATGTTACTGTTCACAACATATCTCGACCTCTCCCTTTCCAATCTTGATTCCGCTCGTGCCTCTTTCAAGAATTTTCCTTTTCAAGTAACTTTGTAAATCTGAGGAAAAACTCATACTTGAAAATGTTTCTCACCACACTATAATAGTACTCCGTAAAATATGAAAGTAAGTTTAGGTCAAGTTGGTCAAAGATACATTTAGAAGCCATTTCGCAATACTGTTTTTCAGTTTATCAGACTTATCAACTATGTTTTTCACCAAATATGTAGTTTCTGCTTTCTCAGGTTGAATTGTTTTTTTTTCTCAGGTTGAATTGTTAAATAAGCAGAAAAACTAAGATTGAAGTTACTTTTTTGGTTGTATGAGTGAAGTTACTACTTCATATAATCATTTTAACTATTTTACATATAATTTTTTCTTTATTTTATTAATAAAATAAATTTTAAAAATAAATTTTTCTTAAATCAGCAGAATCAACCAACACAACCACGTCAGCTAGAATTTCATAAATTTGAGCAGAATCAACATAATCGATCGATTTTCGTTCTATCAAATGGGCTCTTAATGAACGTGAAGTCTCAAACAAGCTTAAACTCTGTTTATTGTGTATCAAAACTCGAGAATAAGTCTCAACATGAATCAAACTGTGACTGATTATGGTCATTTAATTCACAACTACTCTGCTCATTTAGAAGTTAGAACCCAAACAATTACAAAAGTTATGAACTTATGACCTGTTGAAAGTTGAAACTCACAAGTACGTTCAAACGAGTCCTTAATAAGATTGCAAACGAATCAAATAAATTGTGCTCGATTCGCATTTCGAATTCGTGTAAGACGATTCGAATTCAAAAAATTCAAATACAAATACAAATAAGAATATCAAATTTGATTCGAGTTATTTGAATATTAATCAAATATATTCGATTAATAATAATGGAAATATTAGTATCAATAATAATAATAATAATAGTGATAACAATATAATAACTTTTGAGAGATAGCAATAACATCAAAGTGTAGCCCATATATACATTTTTGTATACAGATTCTAAACTCATTTAAGTAAACCCGAATATAAATACGAATACAAATCAATTTTTTGGTTCAAATGTCTTTCAAATACGTACAATACAAAGAATTATGTATCCGATTTAAAGAATAAAATTAGAGTTGTTTGACTTTGATATATACAATTACTAACTTATTTCACATATTATAATTATAATTTCTAATGTGTGTGTTGGTGTTTATTTCAGAAAGTTTGAAATAGATTTATATTTATTAATCATAAAATTAATTCACTTTAATATATTGTGCACCATCTAAAAATGCATTGATCCATTAAATTTAAATTTTAGAAAACACATATTAAGTCATAGCATGCATTTACAACATAAAAAATACGGAGTATAAGAAAAGTTATTTTAAAGTGATATTTAATTTGACTAATATTTAACATATGTTCAAATCGATTAGATATTGGGAAAACTGTCAAATAGGTCCTCAAACTTTCATAAAAAGTCAATTAAGTCCTTCTACAGGAGGTTCTGTCCGGACGTCGCGATTTGGGGCAGTTTCCGGTGGAATTTTTTGATGAAATTTTTTGAGCATCTTATTCACCAAGTCTTGTTTACTCATACCAAATTTCAGCTAAAACTTCAATCGGGAACACATTCAAATTAATTCTTGAAGATAACTGCATATTTTTGCGTTCTCGAATTAATTTGAATGCGCTCCAGATTAATATTTTAGCCGAAATTTGGTACGAGTAAACTAGACTTGATGAATAAGATGCTCAAAAAATTTCATCAAAAAATTCCACCGGGAACCGCCCCAAATCGCGACGACCGGACAGAGTCTCCTATAGAAGGACTTAATTGATTTTTTTATGAAAGTTCGAGGACCTATTTGACAGTTTTCCCACTAGATATTCGTATAGGATTCATTAACTATTCGTTTGGTTAAAGCCGTTAAACTAATACAAACACAAATTGAAATTAATATTCATTTCTCATTTGAATTCGAATTTGTATTCAAAAAAAATTAAACAAATACAAATACAAAAATTCATTATTCCATTCGCTTCGTTTACCACCCTCATCCTTAACAGCAGATAAAGACAAAATGCTGGGAAAGGTAATTAAGTTTCGATGTAGACAAAGCCTTGGCCTGCCATGATTCTCAATAGAAGAGAAGTCTGGTTGCAGCCCACTTTGACTTCAATCTCAGCTTTTTGATTGCCAGGTCAACCTCCACCTCTTCTGCTTCACTGTAATTCCTAGCCTGCTCCTCCGCAAGAGTATACGCTATCTTTATCTGGTTCAATAATTCTTGCCTTTCCTCCTTGAGAGATAGACTGCAATTCTCAATAGCCTCGAGCTGAGCTTCAAATTCCCTTTCTTTCTTGTACAGCTTCTCCAGCTTAGCCTTTATTCCTTCCCCCCCTTTCACCAAGTCTTCAAGCAAATTTCGGGTGTGCTCAAAACTAGACCAGGGATGCCCGCTTCTTCCCTTGCTTTGACGTCTCCATTCCTGAATCATCTCAGGAAAAGTAGCTTTCAAATAAATGTGGGCAGTTAGAGAAGACAGGGACTCGAGTATGGCAGTTTCATTCCGGGGTTCAGCCAAAACATCCAAAGGGTGTGATATCAATGTGTCAAGGATTTCTTTTGCAGAATGTGAAGTTCCTTTGAGGAAATCCATTTCACATTTTAGATCATTAGATCCCGTGCAGCCGAAACTGGAAGGTCTCTTGGGCAGTGACTCTAGAAACGATTGAGCCTCTACATAAACAGATCCATCCAGATCAAGTGCGACTGAAGAATCTACAACCTGATCCCAGACACGTAGGAGAAAAACATATCATTAAGAATTATGATGTTCAAGACAAACAACAATAATAATAGCAACAACGTTACCCTGCAAAGGTCCAACATACGTTGGGGTAAGGAGGGTTGAATGTACATAGTCTTACTCTTGTACTAAAACACTAAAAGATTGTTTCCGGATGTCTCATGATATGATGTTTAACACAATATCATAAAAATATTCCTTCAGTTTCAATCAATCATATATCTGGATAAAGAACTTACTTTATCGTTGGAAGCTAGAGAAGCGTCGGTCAGCATAGAAATTTCAGTTTCGACAAGGCAAATGTCATCAACAAGATAACCTTCACTTTGATTGTGAAACTTACTCAGCCAGATAAATGAAGTATAGCCCCTACTAGTGCTTTGAGCTTCATATTTACTTTCCCTGTCTGTATCATAATGCCCAAAAAGTAAATGGAAAATATATCTATCACAAAAGATAGAACTGGGACTTCATTGGGGAAGGGTATACAGTCCATGAACGCTTGTAATAACGTATGTAAGCTATAGCAGAATAATAGTCCAAAATACAGAGTGAATTGTGATGATTGTACAATACAAAATTATTTTATTACCAATTACCATATGGCATATCTATGTTTATGAATGTGTGATTAAAGAATATGGCATATCTATGTTTAAGAATAAAGAAACTCATACATAGAAGCTGTTGAATGGTGGATCTATAAAAATCAAAATGTCATGAATGTTACTTATCACAAAATGTTATAAAAACAAAAAATGATCTTATTGGTAATATTTTAGCCTATATTATTTGGTATTAGACTATGTTATACGGAAACGCGAAAATCATGAGAAAACGGGAAACGGTGAATGCAACTTTTGGTCAATAAACGTTTGTTTGGAGAGTTTCCGAAACGGAAACGTACTCATTCCCGAGAGTTTCCGTGCAACATAGGTACTAGATCATGTAAATTTACTTTCTATGATTATAACATATTTACATTTTTTCTTTTTCTTTGTTCATGCCCGGGCAAATTAATGTTAATTTTATTTAAAAATAAACGTAATTTTTACTCATGTTTCTTGATAATCCAGGCAAATCATGAAATCCAATCTAAACTACTGAATTTTCAATATCTGAAAATTTATACCCAATGAGGGAGATAATTAAGTCACAAGTATCGTGACTTATGCAGAAATTAGCCGGTTTCCTACTGCCTATAGTTTAGAAAAAAGAGTATTAAACAGACAAAAAAATAGACAACTTCACATTCTTGTGAGTTGTGACTTATGGGGAAATACCTCTCTTGATGGTTTTATTGGGGTCTATCTGGTTAATAAGAGCTAGACTGAATTTAGTTGTTATACTCCACCCATCGGGTAAGCTAGATGCATCAGCCACACGGAGGAACAGAGACAAATGATCTGTTTGGCTTCCTTTTGGAAAAAGGCACAACCTCCTGCAGATATAGATAAAAATAAAACTAATACTACGTATATGCACATAATTTGCCTATTATAATTAAGCATGTTTTTGGTAAATATACAACTTGATGGCATACCATTTGTACTCATTCACCACAAATGTCACCGAGTAAATCTTTTTATGTTTAATTTTCGAGAAATCTTCAATTCTCCAGGTAAATTTTGACGTCATATGTATATTGATTGTTTGGATCCTCAATTCGTCGCTTGAGATTTTCCGCGTTCCTTCTGTCAGCAAAACCCACCATTCAATTAATGGCATAAAAAAACTAAGAAAAATAGCTAAACTTCATACAACACCAATAATCAACTACCAAAAATTACACATTTCACAGTAAAAACTACTCCGTACAACGTATAAATCTATCCGAGAAAGCGAGAAAAGCTTAGTTTGATTCTGGGTACACCGTACACCCAACTCTTTTACTACTTCACCTGCTTAAACTCCTTCCAAAACTTTTTATTGCCGTATAAAAGTAACAACATACTCCGTTTTATTCATCTTGAATTGGTTCATACAGAGTAATATTTTACTTAATAAAACTGGGATTAAAATTAGTAACACATTTACTTTTGTATGCTCACGCTAACCAGAGTATCAAAGGAGATCATTGGTGGATATGGTGATATTATGATCAAAACGTAGAATGTGAAAAGAAGATAGGATTTACTATTGCAAATACGGATAAGGTGCTGATTAGTATGCAGTGGCTGATGCTGGAAATGTACGTTACGTTATGCTGTGGAGGAGAGGAATCGAAGGTGAGCCAGCAAACCCAGCATGCGAAGAGCTATATATGGTGGCTCGCTCGCTTCAAAGCCAAGTGCTCAAATGATCATTTTTTTTTTGAGAAAATGGGCAAATAAACCCATGTACTAACAAAAAAAAGTCAACTAAGTCCTTATTTAGAAAGTTATGTCTGACTGTCGCCGTTTGGGGTGGTTTCAGGTAGAATTCTTTGACAAAAGTTTTTGAGCATCTTATTCATTCAGTCTAGTTTACGCATACCAAATTTCAACTATAACTACAATCGGGAAGACATTGAAATGAATTATTGAAGATAACTGCACAGTTAAAAACGCAATAATCTTCAATAATTCATTTGAATGTCTTCCCGATTGAATTGTTAGCTAAAATTTGATATGCGTAAACTAGGCTCAATGAATAAGATGCTCAAAAAAATTCACCAAAAAATTACGCCGGCAACCGCACCAAATGGCGACGGCCGGACAGAATCTTCTAAATAAGGGCTTATTTGACCTTTTTTGGTTAGTATGTGGGCTTATTTGCCCCTTTTCCCTTTTTTTGAGTAATACTCATCAAATGATAACTAATAAGCAATGAAAGATATTAATGCTCAAACTTGTGCATTGACAAATGTGAAAAGTGACCGGTCTAAATGATCTTTGTATATTAATAATACTCCCTCCGTTCCAATTTGTTTTGCAAAGTCAACATTTTTTGGTCAACCAATAATAAAAGTTAACCCTCCCTACGAATAATTAATTCAATTTTTAATAATTAAAATTTACATATTCAAAAATTACATTAAAATCTCTTCAAAGTTGTAAACTCCAAATTAGAAAAAAATTAAAAATTGACATCCTAATTAAGTGAACAAAACGAGACTGTTTGACTAAGAAAAGTCAAATTTGCAACTCTTTTTGGGACGGAGGTAGTAGTTGACACTATTTAACAGCCTGCTACACCTCTTATTCTTTGCATCAGTCAGATATATTCCTATCCAGTTTTCCCGTTTGAATTTTGATTGAGTTGAATTATCTCCTTCTCTGTACAATGTATGCAACGCCGGCCAGGGCAAGGTTGCCCTGTCCAACCGCACAGGGCTCGGAATTTTGGAAGGCCTCCCAAAAAAAAATAGTATTAGAACCCAGCCCAAATTCACGGGCCCAACTTTAATCCATCAACATGCGCCCAAAATTCCCAAGCTCCCGATTCCATCTTCGATCATCTATCCGCCCAACTAAGCCACAAACCACTCCCCACTTCTCGGAAATCAGAACGATGACGATTGGATTTGGACGCAAGACAAGAGCACTTTGCTGCTGCTCTCGCCACTGGAGTGAAGCTGTGAAGGCTGTAGCCTGGAAAGAGGATGACTAGACGAAGAAGGACTGAGCCATTTGGCTTTCTTAGAGCATCTCCAATGGTATAATGTGCACGGTGCAAACGTGGCATGAGAGATAACCACATAAATATGAGTAAATAAATTCTTTCTCTCCTTATTTTAATGATTTTATACATATTTAGTAAGTTTTTCTCCACAATGTCAATGAGACCGTCTAAATGTTGACATTGCAGTTGACATTGCAGGGAAAAACTTACCAAAATTGTATAAAATCATTCAAATAAGGAGAGAGATAATTTATTTGTTAATATTTATGTGGCTATCACTCATGCCACATGTGCACCGTGCACATTTTGGCATTGGAGATGCTCTTATTATTTTTGGCGAATGACAGTGTTGGTTACGTTATTAATTATACTCGTATAAATTTCACATTTTGCAAGAAAGAGATAGTAAAAATATCGTGGGCATAGACTAAGCTAAGTACTCGGTTGGTTATGTGATTTTTTACATCGTTGACTACGTTAGATTGATGAAAATGTATTCAATTTATTCAATGTGACTGATAAAGTATATGGGTCCGGACCCTATGGCCCACATACTCGTAAGACAAGCACGAGGACCACGGTGCCTAGATGGCCCTCCATCGGCCAAACTCCATCATCACCGAATACTGCCCAAAAGTCCAGGAGCAAAAACTTGGACCTCCGTCAGCCAGGCCCTCCTTCGGAAAACGAGACTCCAGTAGACTATATTTTGTACTTAGTTCTAGAAATCATGTACTCAGTCCATTAGAGGTCTTATTGTGTATCAGGCCTCCCAAACCCAAGTTCTAGGAGGCCAAACCCACATTTTCCCAATAAATACTCTCATAGGAGTAGTAATTATATGAGATTGAGAAATATTAATTAGAAACATTATCTATCTCACTTCTCTCTAGATTAATATTCTATCAGTGTCATTATTAATATATTTAGTTGAAATATATCTTGTTTTGCAGATTTAAGTGCAATAAATATATGTATTATAGATTTATAGCACAATAAATCTATTATAACCTACATCTAAAGTAATTGAAAGTTAAGGGCAAAAGGAAATATCCTAATAATAAATATAATCCAAACTAATTGAATTATTTTGAAGCAAAGTGTGTTTAATTGTAAAGTCTATTTTCATTGGATGAAGAGAAAATATTGTGAGAAAATTTTAGCCTCTAGTTGGAGATGAGATTTTCCCATGAATATTAATAAATTAAATTCAAAAGACAAATATATCACTTATTTAAAATTTCTACAAGTGACATATTAAGTGAGTAGTTCTCGTGACGCATCATCTATTAGTGACTTGTCACTCTGAAATACACTATAGTTACTCGTACACAATGACTAATAATATTTTTGTTAAAAAATATAACAAGTCATATTTTTGTCCAGAAAAACTCTGTTAATAATACGCACACTATAATTCTTTCATTGAAGATGGTATAGTGGAAAACAAATTAAATAAAAAAAGAATTAATGCCAGATAACCTAAGACATGAGTGGGCTTAACATTCCCTTCCATATCACATCTCTAGGAATGCAAGTTTCCCGACTTTTTCTCAACCTTGCAAATCAAATATAAGCATGTAAGTAACTTTCCTTTCATCACATTTCGGCCTTCAAATATAAGCATGTATGTAACTTTCCTTTCATCACAATTCGGCCTTCTTGTACGTACTTAAAAGTTAAAACCAAAACAATTAAACAAATACATATATATCAAATATATGAAAGAACACAATACATTACACCAGTGGCGTATCCACTATGGGGGCAGCGGGGGCGGCTGCCCCCACTCAACCCCAACCCAACCCCTATATATATCTAAAAGTTTATAAGAAATTGCTCAAAATAAGAGTTAAATGTAGAAAAAAATCTAAAATAGGATTAAGAACGTTTTCTTTCATATTAAAAGAATGAAAGACTAAAAATTTCACTAAATTTTGTTATGTTTAACTTATATTTAGATAATTTTCTCAAACTTTATCTGTAATTACATCTTTACACACGTAATATAAATTAATCTTCTTTTTATTCATACATACTTGTACATATATATCTTAAACTAAATTTAATCAAACAATATTAATAATGGAATTTGCTATTTGTAAAATATGAGACTAAATTGTAGTGCATGTTTGCCCCCACTCGCCAAATTTCCTGGATACGCCACTGCATTACACATACTCCATACAAATATATTTCTGTAATTTGCTTATAGTACGTACGGAATTGATAAGTCATATCGGACCAGAACATAAATTGATTTCGAAGACATAATTTTTAGGGCGTAAAGTTTTTATGGCGGTTTCCATAATAATATGATGGAAGTGAGAGGGAAAAGATGCTAGCCTCGTATATGGCGGTTCTAGCTATACGCTCGTGCAAGTTCAACATCACGGTTCATCCTGTCGCCCTCATCAGATGACCGCTGATACAATTTGCATAAGCCATGCTTAGTGTACATAAAGTGTACACAAAGTGTACACTCTATAAATAGGCTAATTTATTTTTGAGTGAATTCCCTAAATAGGACTAAAAAGTTGCAAAATTGCACAAATAGGACTACATTTTTTAAATTCCCTAAATAGGACTATTTATGTGTGTTTGGACAAATATACCCTTGTAACTTGTGAAATGTTTTATGTTATAATCAAATCATAAAAATAATAATAAAAATCGAAAAAAATACTAAAAATCATAAAAAAAAATAATAGAAAATTAATAAAAATATTTTTTAAAAAAATAAAAAAAAATTTAAAAAATTAAAAAAAAAATAAAAAAATCGTAAAATTAAAAAAACAAAAAAAAAAAACATTACCACCCCTGCCACCCCCAGCACCACTAGCTCCCATCACCGGAGAAAAATATGCCAACATTTTAAATTATGCCATAATGATGGCATATTCAATGAAAATGTTGGCATATTGAAGAGTAATTATGCCATCTTTTTGGCATTTTCAGAAAAAGATGACATTTTTTTACCAAAAGTGGAAGAAATTTCACCAATCGGAGGTGGTGGTGGTGGGAGGCGGTGGGAAAGGTATCCATAATTTTTTTCATTTTTTATGGGTTTTTACTATTTTTTATTATTTTTTAAAAAAAATTTAAAAAATAAAAAATTAAATTTTTTATTTTATAAATTTTTTATAAATTTTTTATAAATTTTTTACGTTTTTTAAATATTTTTTACGTTTTTTTATGATTTTATTATGAATTAAAGCATTTCATTATGAATTAATACTCTTAGGGGTATTTAGGGTAGAAAATCAATGTTTAGTCCTATTTAGGGAATTTAAAAAGTAGTAGTCCTATTTGTGCTTTTAAGGAACTCATTAGTCCTATTTAGGACAATTTCCGTTTATTTTTACCTTTCTTTAGTTTACCCTTGTTTCTCTTCCCCAAGTACCCAACCTCTCCTGCGTACAATTTCCCCCAATCTTCCCTACGTACAAATTCCTTCCAAGACACCAAACTCTCTACTTCATCTCATTTTTTTTTATTTCTCCTATTAACTGTGGTGGATCTTCTCTCCATGATTATTGACCATTCTTCTCAAAACCCTACCATGGAGGTAATATCTATTCCAAAATTTTTATATGCATTTTAGGTTTTCATTTATACTCCGTAT